ATTCATGATTGGCTTGATAATTTAAAACAATATGTACGACATCGAATTTCTCCCCGGTTTTAATTGTTCGCCCTAAATGAAAGGATGGAGCCACCTTTGTTTTGAGTATTACTGAATTCCTTTGACGGGTTTGTAACAGTTTGTATCTGTAAAGTGTTAATTAATTTGATTTAGTGGGTATTAAAGTGTATAAATATTTTGAGCTTATCCATTTATTACAATTATTTAAATGAATAAAAGATTCGAAATAACGTGAATCGCTTATGGAAGTGTTTCGCAGATTTTTATTTTAATACCGGTTTCTCGGACGACCTACTTATTTACCTGAGGACAAAAGAAGCCTCGTGCCCGACTCTGCTTTCCAGAATTTATTGTAGATTTTATATGACAGTGGAGTCGTTGTCGCACCTTTAGGTCAAAGGGTCCCCAGTTAATAAAGCTTGTATCCACCATACCTATTCAAAAAAAGTCATTCAAAAGTCAATCATGCCTATTTTTGATGCAAGATTTTCATTCACTTTTGTTCACTTTCTTCCAAATGCATCCCATTTCACTTCAAGGGACTTGGATTTCTTACTTCGCCTCAGGTAAATACCAAAATTGGTAAATAGCATAGGGTGAAAATTGAAAAGAGTGGGGAACCATTTCATTCGCAGTTATTCATTTGAAATGATGAGATTCTCAGTAATTTTCATGCGGGTGATTCATTTTTATTCACAATCCGATGGCATTTTTAGTACATATCCCACATATTCCACCTGTTTGAACATTTTCGTGGCGAAAATTTGGTTATTTTCCAATTTAATGACTCCAATTTTTCCAATTTTCTCACTTTGAAGTCCATGATCCATTTGGGACTCGCCTTAAAGTTTAAATCAATTTCGCTTGATTTTGACATTGCCCATCTTCTTAAGTCCATCTCATTAACATGCATCATTGACGATCTCGCATTCTCAAATCGCTCAAGCACAAATTTTTCCACCTGTTTGAATTTCTGAAATGTTGTGCTCTTATGCTCTACATATGCTCTCAATCTGGTAATTGTTTTGCTATTTTTGATTTTCTTATATCGTCGTTTTGCTTGGTTGAATTTATGTTTTTTAACCTTATCGTAGAAATCAAGAATGTTCACCATTTCCTGATATGTAAAAACGGCACCGTCAACCACTTCCTCCACCCATTCTTGCGACACTTGTTGAGAAAGACTGTCAGAGTCCTGTTCAACATCAAAACTATCACTATTTAAACTATCACTATCACACCCTAATTCACCGTAAGTATCTGTATATATATCTATATCCCCGTCCATATCAAATTCTAATGTGCTTATCGTTTCTAAATCAGTCCCAGAATTCTCGACAATCTCTTCCACAAATGAGAACACTTTTTTTGCAACGTTTAAATTGTAGGTCGATGAATTGTTTGATCTACCGTGGATTCCAAACTTTTAGCCAGTTGCAACACTTTCTCACAAATTTTAATTATATCTGACATTATGAATCAGAATTTGAAATGCCAAATGAAAAGTGAAAAAAAATTTGTCATGAAAAAAGCGAATAAAGAACATGTGTGAGCTAGCCAGCAGCGTTTGTGAGGCATCGGGCGCTGGACGTCTCATAATGAAACTATGCTACCCATGGTCACACGCTCGTCACAAATATCGTCATAGATTGACGAAAAGTGATTTTTGCACGTAAATCTCACCACTTTACGCCATAAATCGCATATTGTAGTCATTTTAGTACGGGTGGGAACCCTGGATTCAACCGGCACCTCGGAGGTTTCCCTTGTAAGAGGACTCCATAAATATCCAGGTTCATGGAAACCGCAAGTATTTAAATATTGATAAAACAAGTATTAAACGAAACTGGCGAAAGTGTTGGAAGCCTTAATGAATTAATAAACCGACGAAAACGAATATAGAATAAAATATAAGCGGCGTCATACAGTGAAATGTAGAATGATAAGCGGCTGTAGAATTATGTATTTGAAGCCTATCATTTCGTCTTTACAATGGTAATGGGTTGGTCGAAAGCATATTTCGGGCTTTATACTTAAGTGCCCATCCTGGGGGCATGATGGCAATTCAAGTTTCTTCTTAAGGGTCATTGTCACTCTGTTTGAATTCTACACGTGGTTCGTAGTCTGCAATATTGTTTCCTTTTCTATCATGATTATTCTCATGTATCCAGTGGAAGTCAACTTATTGATACTCGAGAGAGGTTATGGCAAGGTAAGAAAATAAATCAAGGTTATCTAATAGAGTGTTAATCCTTACCGAAAATATTCAACTGGCCTATTGAAGCATTCCATGCAGTGCTTGGTACCAGTAAATTCCGCTCATTGAGACAACAAAGTTTTACAAGGTTTGCAAAACTAATTAAAATTGCCATAGATAATCACTGCGGAGATCTTGCAGCATATATCCGATTTTGAATAAATAATTGCCAGTAAAGCATACATTTAATTAATGAAGATATGAAATTCGCAAAAAATACGATCTGCCGGTTCTGCAGATATATTTTCATCCAACGAGTCCAACGAGATGTGTTTGGAAACAAATCTTTATAATTTGCATTTTCTCATCTTGCAATATAATGCAAATATCTCGGTAAAATTAGACCATTGCCGGTTAAGATCTTATGAAAATTTCACATTGATTATCTTTGTGATTAATTCACACAAGATAATGTTTACCAGAATTCACAGATTCTGCAGTGTTATCGTAAGTTGCTTCATAACTTTGTGCACTTTTCCTTCAAATACATAGGAAGACGAATAATCGATGGCGAGATTTACCGATGTACCGAACTCTACAATTGTTATCGAACTTCCATAATTTTGTCTTCACCTCCCCTTCCATGGCTATCGTGGCGTTTAGTTGCACTCTCTGTGAAAGTTTTGCTTTATTTTTAATAATCACTTCCAGTCGGATTGTCCCACTACCAGTCCTCACCTTGTTCTGCTTAGTTGTAGTGGATTTCGGAATCGTAATTCAGGCCGTTTTTAAAATTCTGTCGTACCCATATGTCAAATCTGTTGAGTTTATTGGACTCGTGGAGATGGCAAGGTATTCGAAATCAGAGCATCGTTTTATTCAGTCTTGCCCTCCTTTCAAATTGTCGTTGGGCGATGGTGGATTCTTCGATAAATTGACGGCATTCGTCATTTGGCAGAAATGTATTGATCTATTGATCACTTTTCTCCTTTTGTAAATTATTCACGACACATATAGATATTCTGGTACTAACCATTACTAAATTTATTCAGTAATCGTTATAAATTTAAATAGTATAAAATTTGCCTCCATCTAATCCCCAAGGACAGCCACCGTCCAGCAGAGATTTTTACTGTGCAATATCTGTCCTCTGCATGTTCCCATCTAGAGCTTTGATGGGTCCAATGTTTAAAAACCCAGCCCTCTGGCACACCCCGGCCCAACACTCTTAGAAATGGGGTTACGATTATAACCAAAAAGGAAACGTATGTGACTCTACCGCCATGGTTATAAATTCGTCACCGAGTGGTTACAATTGTCACCGAATAATTTTGAAGTTTCACTTGGTATGAAATTGTCACCAGAACTAATAAATTGATAACCAGTTGGTGACAAATCTATAACCACGGCGGTATGTAGAGTCACATACGTCTACTTTGTGGTTACAATCGTAACCCCACTTCTAAGAGTACTAGGTTTTCCTGGACAAAAATCTCTGCCCGCCCAAAGCCCTATCGGGTTTGGTAGTTTTTTTTTCGGATGTAGCTCTATTCCACGTGTTAAATAAATGGCGTGTCTGATTTTTCGTTGACGTATGTATGTAAATTAGCCAGCATTGGTTGGCGAGAGTATAATTAGGTCGCGTAGAATTAATCTCATGTCCAGATTATGAAAGCATTAGATGTATTCGTTATGCAAAATATTTACAAGCTTAAAAAGCAACCAATTTGTAAACATGTATGTATGACCACAAGTGAGGACGTCAACCTTCCAGAGCATTACTAACAATTTACGTCATTCACTATCTCGTTTGAAACGAAATATGTATTAGTCATATTCTAACTGAATGAAATTATCAATATACTCACTCGCCAAGGATGTTAACCTCTTTCATACGACTGATTTTTGTCTAAAATTTCCCTTCGGTACGAAGTTGATTTCAAAATTACACTTGATATGTAGCAAATTTACACCCAGTTTCCAGTTTTGAGATTTTTATATGGACAAAACATGGAAACACTTTCTAACATTACATATTCTGTATTAGGAAAATTCCAAAATTTTGGGGGATAAATATAAAAAAATGTACTTTCTACCATCGAGTGTTCCACAATGTACAAAAAAATACTTTTTTTAAAGATATTTTGGTGTTAATGTACATTTTTGTATATTTCGTCGTGGACTGAAAATAAAAAAAGTATACAATGTGTGTAGTTTGTCGTTAAGAGGTTAATCTGTGCAAATTTGACCACAAAACGTACCACAATAATTACTCACCGCCTACCCAAGTAAATTTCCTGTTGTCATATTTTATCAGGACAGGAAACTAACTGACAACGGGTACGCTAGGCTTGTTCGTGCCAGATTTTAAGGAAAAAATTATGTATGTATCTTACTACTCAAATACTCGGCCCCAGCAGGGAAAAAGCAGGAATTTTTGGTCAAAGTCTAAGACCTCAGGTTCTCAGATGGGCCGTACCATGAATCCTGGAAAAGGGATAATTTTTCCTATATACATATGTATTTAATTTTTTTTTAAATCGATAAGGTTTTTTTCTATTAGGCCGAATCTATTCTATTAGGTCTGAAAAAAAAACATTATGTACATAGTAAGAATTCTATTTAACTAATGCGTTGAGTTATACAAGTTTTAAAAAAATATGACGGAAACAAGCCAAACGTACCCATTGTGGGTATACATACGTAAATAAATAGATAACGGGATTAGCGAATATTCATGAGCCATACTCACTTATGAGGTTATCAGTTTGTTCGAGTTCGAGTAAAACAAACCTACGCATTTATGATATTGCATTCCATTCCAGAATTTCATTGATCAAGTAATAAAAAAATAGACTTGTTCAAAACATAAAAGTTGTAAATTTGTGTGTAGAATTTGCATGAAAAAATGGGTGACCCCATTTTCCAATCATTCCTTCTCATCGTTTCACTCCCCCTCTGCCTTTTCACCATCGTGGGGAACTTATTCGTTCTTTTCGGCTACATTTTCCACGCCCCCCTTCGCACCCCGGCGAACGCGTACCTCGTCTCGCTCGCCATCGCGGACCTGATCACGGGCCTGGTCGTGTTTCCCCCCACGATTCACTACTCCTTCGTGCAAACGTGGATGTGGGGGCTGCCCACGTGTCGGATCTGGCTGGTTTTCACGTTCGCCATGTTTTCCGTGACGGGGCTGCATCTCGTCGCGATTGCGGTGGATCGGTACCGAACCGTGTCGGAGGGGGTCTCGTACATTCAGCGGAGGTCGATGCGGTCCGTCGGGGAGAAGTTGGGGCTCATTTGGATTATCGGGTTTTGGGTGACGATTCCTGTTATCCTGGATTGGGAGAATATCGTGGTGGATCCGAGGGCGGAGGTGCACTGTGTGACGAAGAAGGTTCCTTATTGGGTGGCGCACTTTTGTGGGGGGGCGTTTGTCCTGCCGGCAGTGTTGATTGGGAGGATTTATTACAAGGTTTATGGAGAGATTAAGGAGAGGAATAAGGAGAGGGGGAAGTTGGAGGGGAGGGAACTGACGGGAGTGACGGAGTCGTCGTCAGATGGGGTCGATGGTGGGGGTAAGTAGGAGATTTAAATTGGAGGGGCGGGAAATTTTATTTTCGGGGAGCGGGAGATTGGAATTTAGTGAAGTGGGGATATGAATTTTTGTGGGGCGGGACATTTTGATTTTTGTTGGACGAAAATACAGGATTTTTGGGGAGAAATTTTAATTTTTGAGGGCTAGAAATTAGAATTTTTATGGGGTAAGGGGCGTGAAAAAGAGTATTTGTTGGGTGGAAAATTGGGATTTTTGTGGGCAAATAAACGAAATTAGAGTATTGTAATATTTGCATGCAAATATTTGTGTTTGCATGCAAAGTTCTAATATTTGGCTAATTTTTGTACAAATTTTTGTAGGGGTTGATGCAGGAAAAAGGCATCGTCCTATCAAAGTCACTGCCGACGACGTGACGAGGAAAACAACTCTCCTGGCACGAGAGCGACGAACGGCTGTCACGTTACTCATAATTTCAGGAGCATTCATATTCTGCTGGTTGCCATGGAATGCGTTAACCGTATTCGACGCAATTACCGGAGTCATACCGGCCCCTTATTTGTTCACGTTTTCAGGGATTTTCGGCCTGGGAAATTCCTGCATTAATCCAATGGTTTATGCGGCAAGAATGCCAGAGTTTAGGACAGTTTTTAAGAAAATGTTAAGAATAAAGTGATTGTTCACGCTGTAATTAAGTAATCACGTAAACTTTAACGTCGCAAAATGAAATTGAAATATTATATTTATCTAATTTTGTTTAATGCGTAAAAAAATTACATTTAATTTAATTTAATTTCGTTAAATTTACATTAAACGAAATTGGTATCCGAGAAAATTCATGTATTTAAGTCATGTCGCGTGTCCAAAAATCCGTGTGGATAGGAGCCCAGGAAATGTTTAAGGTTACCAATGATTGCATTTTAATTATCATTTTTATGCACGTTTTTCCAAGACAAGATGTAAATTTATGTACACGAGGCAAGTATGTTACGATAAAATCGATTAATCCAGTAAGTTTTAACCAGGCCCCGTTTTAGCTATAGGCGAGCCAGGCAACCGCCTAGGGCGCCAGATTTTTGGGGGGCGCCGGCAGGCGCTCCTCTACACTAGATAAAACCAAGTTGGCGGAATTTATAATTTGTCGTGGATGAGAACATACAAAAGACTGACTTTCACTGGAATCTCTGGTACAAAATTAGATTTGTACGTATTTTTCAGCTTGAAAATCCACCCAGATAAACTTGCAATTTCCTCGAAACACTTAAAATGCAGAAGTGCAAGGTGGTTCTGATTATCCGAGATTTTGGCCGGGTACAATTTTCAGCTGGTCACGCTCAGAAATATGTAAGCGTACCTGTTTATTTGCGTTGATTTAAATTTTATTGTTTTGGCGTTTGGCAGAATTTTAAATAAATTTTCAGCCAAAACTTGCATGTTATAAAACTCGTTAAGCTTTCTAATATTAACCCGATTTAAAAATTTAGGCACAATTTTTGATCAGAATTACTTAAATTATCAACATCCATTTTTTTACTTTTAATTATCAAAAAACTAACATTTTGCGGTTTACTAATCCTAAGATTCAAGAATATTCGTAGTATGAAGATTTCAAATTTTGAAAGTTCTGAAAAATCATTTTTATAATTTCAAGGAAATGATTAACTGAGCAAAAATATCGCTTGATATTTTAAAACGGGAAAAATTCGAAAAATAATAGCAATTTGAAAAATTCATATTTGGGATGAATTTACCACATTCAAAAACATGCGCATTCTATAATGCTAAAAAATATCTGTACGCTTATTTCTGAGCATACACAATTTAAAATTAGTCTAACAAAACTTGGAAATAAAAACCTTCTTTAAACCTTTCCACTGTTAGTATAATTTAATTTTTAATAAGCAAGAAATCTTAATGACATACTTGACTCTATGCTATAACAATATTCAATTATTTTTCAGCCTAAATTAACTTAAAAATGTTAATTTGTGGAACTGCAAGTAGAATGCAGGTCTTTCACATGTAAAACTGAGATTTTCATAGGCACAATTTTAGTTCGGTCACCAAAAAAATAATCATACCCGTGTTTTTGTATTTTTCATAATGCGCTAATTTGAGCGCGAGGTGTGAATTTTGGATTGTTTTTTCAGCCCGAACCTTAAGTATTCCAAATCATCTAACTTTTCGAATTTTAGCGCGAATTAAAGAATTTGAAAACATTTCTCCCCAGGAAGGCTTACCTGACTTAATAAAAATTCAATTGTCGCGAAATTTTAATTTCAGGGGCCTTTTGCCCTTTTTTAAAATTTTGAAAGAATTAAATCCAATAAAGTTTAGAATTTTCTAGAATTATAGTAATTGGAATTTTCATAAATCAAGTAAGTCAACCTCGCGAGGTTGTGGCTGGAGAACAATGTACAATTCGCGCCTCGCGCTCAAATCAGCCAATTATGAAAATACAAAAGTAGGGGTATGCTTATTTTTTGTGGTGAACAAACTGAAATTGGTCCAGGGCCTGCATAAATCTGAGTTTTGCACGTGAAAGACGTGCATTGTTAGTGCAAAATCCAAATTTATGCAGGATTATATAGTATGTATGGTGTGGTACTGAATTAAGTTTGCGGACGGTGCGCGCACGTGGGGGCGCAATTATGGGTTTGCCTAGGGCGCCACATTGCCTAGAACGGGGCCTGTCGGTGATAATTGTTACTCATGTGATTTATTCGTATTCAAATTACATACTTATGCACACTACTTAACCTCTCCAGTGCACACATCATTTGTGCAGGATTTTAACATTTTGTCCGTTGAAAAACATGTTTACTGAATAAATTATCGGAACATGAAAATTTCTTTGAGTGTAGACCGATCCCTACTCGTAATTTGAGTAGAATTACGTAAAAATGGCGTTTAAGAGGGTACATGAATAATATGTTAGCAAGTATGTATGTATGTACGAACTCCTCAATTGTGATTTCATACTTAATCTTTATTTTATAAATTAATGTCGCACAATTTGAGGAGAATATGTTAGCCAATTATGTATGGTTTGTGGAAGTTATGACACTTACAATGGAACCTTTTTCCAAGATACATCGGGATGGACTTGCGAGTTATGTCACAAAACCAAGCCAAAAATTAGGAGTCACATGACGCCTATCCTTTCGTTGAATGGCCCATTTGAAGAAAAATATTCGTGATCAAAGTTCCCACTCCTCCCTGGTTATCGCCCCATGGGGAAAAATCAAGGGAAAGTTTGCTCAAAAATTGAACTTTGCTACCAATATTTTTCTTCAAAGGATTCATTCAACAGAAATATAAGTGTCGCGTGACTCCTAACTTATGGCTTGATTTTTTGACAACTCGCTAGTTGATCCCGGTGTAACTTTAGAAAAGGTCCCATTGTTAGCGGCGATCATAAGTGTCACAAATCCATTTTTAACGACCTACTTCCAAAGGGTGTCCGGTCAATTTGGTCCGGTTTGGTCGTGGGAAATTTGGTCTGGAGTCAATTTGGTCTTGAACAAATTCGGTCTGGCCGATTTGGTCTAGCCGATTTGGTCAAGCCAATTTGGTCTGACGTATTTGAATATTTTTTATTTTGGTCCCATACTATTCGCATGTTACCTTGATTCCTATAGATATGTATTTATGTATATATATGATCTGTATATGTACTACTTACAGCATGCCTAGCTTAGGTTAATAAATCTTGATTCAGGTTAACCTTTACTTAACTAGACTCCGAGAACGACACGACACGTAAGAGCGATTTTTAAATTACCAATATTATGTCGGAATTGCCTCATCGGGGTACAAAACGTGATATGTGGCAGGGTTTTACTTACAATGGAACCTCTTTTCAAGCTACACCGGGATTGACTAATGAGTTATATCAAAAAATCAAGCCAAAAATTAGAAATCACATGGCGCTTATCATTTCGTTGAATGGCCCCTTTGAAGAAAAATATTGGCGGCAAAGTTCAATTTATTATTAAATTTTCTCTCCCTTTTCCTCCGCAAGGCGAAAACCCACGGCGCTCGTGGGGACTTTGACCCCCAATATTTTTCTTCAAAGGGGCCATTCAACGGAACGATAAGCGCCATGTGATTCCTAATTTTTGGCTTGATTTTTTGATATAACTCATTAGTCAATCCCGGTGTAGCTTGAAAAGAGGTTCCATTTTTAGCTTAATTTAGGTCCAGAGAACCACACCCCTTGAGGGTGTTTTACATTTCACATTTTACATTTTATGATTTTATGATTTTACATAAAAATGTAGTCAGATTATTGTTCATGCATTGATCTCTCTGGATTACGGCATGCAATACCGGTACTACATATTTCCCAATACAGAATATTCAAAAATAAATAAAATATATGTATGTATATTTGGTGTGAGCGAGTTACTTATAATTTTTCTCTGCCAAAAATGTGAATTTGAGGTGAGATAAGTGGAATTTGACTTACTGAAAGATTATATTAATTTTTCAAATTTATAACTTGAATACCGGTGGTTGAACTTGTCAAAACCTGTATTCGGTAATACCGGTAAATACGGGTAGTCTACATAATACCAGTATTGTAAGCCCTACTCTAGATGGTCGTTGAGCGACGCAGGAGAATGTGACACCTCGTAATCTGCTGCTGATGGTGTCATGTGGTAGCCACCGTTCTCAAGTGTTTATGCAATTTACTGATGTTTCTATGGATTAGGTATGTGAATATGTATTAGATTAGCCAGGATTGAAAGATCGTCTGATTTGGAATACATAGATACATAGATAAATAATCGTTGTTAAGCTCCAGTTAGAATTTTGCCCAATGCGTAATAAAAGGCTTATGTACATACCTATGAGCATATAAACGTCAAATTATTCAGTTTTTTTGATGCATTACATTCGACTGGCGACATGTCTCGCCAGCTTACAATTTAAATACATCCCACTATTTAGTTCATCATCAGTGTCAGTCAACTTGGCTGGGTCAACCACTACACTATATGTACATATATCGTGAAACGTCTAATTAACTCATAATGATGTGTGGTAAGTCCACGTTAACGGTTCAACTCAAGAACAGTTTTTGAGTTGAACCGTTTTAGTACAGTTTCAAGTTAAAATAAATTAACGTGTAAACTTTAGAGTAAAGTAGGGGAAATTAGTGAAATTAATTCAACCATTGGGCAAGTTTTAGAACCTTTTTTCAAGCTACACCAGGAGTAACACCAAGAGTTTACACGTTGTGAGAAAGCTCAGGGTTACAAAAACAGTTGGCCCACTTTGGGTTAAAATAAGTCTTACCTACATATTTCAGTACTAACGTCAACGCCTAACTAACTTTGAACTAACGCCTTTAAGTCATATGAACCTGAACGTTAAGAACGTTGAAAAGATGGCTTCAAAAAACCACGAAAATACGAAACGCATTCGAAAACGGGGCTACACTTCTCGCATTTATAGCGACTACGAGTTGCTTTGGGAACTTGGACGTGGCGGTTTTGGCATTGTGTGGGCCGCCCAGAAGCGTGGTACATCCTCTAAGAATCAGCGATTCGCTGTTAAAAGGACTTTCGCAAAGTAAGTATTTGCTGATTTTAAAAATATTCCTCTCGTGTAGGGGCCATCCTTCTACTACGTCATCAAAAATTCTTGATTTTATCACCCACCCACCCAACGTAAAAATATAGCCGTAAGGAATTTTAACATGGGGAAGATAGGAAGACCTACAAAAACCACCCACCCAGTAAAATTAGGACGAAATATATGAACGTTCCTGGACGATTTTTAAAAAAAAATTTGAATTCACACAAAGACACGCTACTAATCATATTTCATGACTGGTGCTATTGTGAAAAATTGTCGTTTTAGATACGAAACTGAGGACCATCAAGATTTACGCGATATGGAAAAAGAAATTGAGGCATTTTCCCACCTACGAGTGTATCAGCATCCTAATATCATCCCGATTTTTACTACAATCATCGAGACCCCTTCGGACGGGTGGGTCGAAGAGAATGACCCGTTATATAAGGAATTTATTAAAAAGTTCCGCTAGAATTATTTATTTATTTATTTTGTAACATGCCTTTGTATGCAGAGTTTGAGTTTACATTGTTGTGTCTCAATTTTCCCTTCTTCCATATATTCAAATGGCGATTTGAAAGGTATTCATCTCTGTGGCTTTTTTTACTATATGTAGATTTTAATGCACCTAATAATCGTCTAAGTTTACAAAATTAAGAGGGTGGAATTAGATTTTTTATAACTTTCATATATAAATATGACATCAAAAATAATAACCATAAAAACTATACATAGGTATGTATATTTTCTCATAAAAAACCAAAATTTTCTCCTGGTAACTTTGTCTTAAAGACACTAAAATCTTCATGTTGAAAAAAAAACTCCTGAAGATGAATACATTGATGCAGGATTCAAAATTTCCATTTGAATATACTGAAAAAAAGAACGTTTAGAGACAACAATTAAAACTCAAAACCCGCATACAATGCCACCTTAAGGGATTATTAACATTTTCATTAATTATTTGAAGTATTGATCCGGTCGAGTTATTGGATTCATGGAAGGTTTTCGGCGGTGTGGGAAAATATTGTCCGATCACTATCGTCACTGAATTTTGTGAACTGGGTACCCTCGAAGATTGGCTGAAAAAGAACGACAGCAAAAATAGAGATGTCAATTTTCTGCTCGATTTCGCCTCCCAGATGACGGACGGGTTGCGATTTTTGCACTTCAAAGGCATCATCCATCGGGACCTTAAGCCCAGCAATATGTTTCTCAATAAGCTTTCTAACTTGGCGGATGAGAAGGTGGGTATACCTACCTATTAAACTTCGCTTAAAACATTTCGTTCAGTTCATCACATGGAGTACATTAGCCGAACGAGCCGAATTATTTTATTATTTGACGCCAAGTAATAAAATAATTATTCAATTTCGTATGGTTTTTGCGCCAAAATAAAAATAAGTGGTGTCAAATCAATACTAAGAATAGCCGTGGGTGACTGTGTTTATCTGTCCAATTTAAACGTGTGTGCTCGAACTTGCTTTGAGAATGGGGCAAAATGAGACTCAAGTCAATGTTATTGTAAATTTAAAAAACATAAGTGCACCACCTTGACTTTTAATGCCTGGGGCGTTATGAGATTATCGATTATTGCATATTATTATGCCCCCTCTATTGATGTTATTATGCCATTTATCACAATTTATCACATCGTCAATCAATAATAAGAATTGCGACATATATGTATGTTACCAATTGAACTTGGGGTTGCGATATCAACTTACCCAAAACCCGTCAAGACGGGTTACTAATGTGAAAGAGCAGGTTTGGTCAACTTCATTAATGCCAAACCCCCTAATTAGTATGCCACTCACCTCCATCATCTCTTACAAACAAGAGACAATGTTGCAAACCAGCTTCGTCACAACCTCATCTGAGATATCTCTATTCAGCGTGGCCAACCGGTTCATAATCGGTCAACACATAGGTATCAATTAGGTATTGCTAGGATATATAAGCGAAAGCGCAGCCACCAGACGGGGGACGGTGGAGGACGGGTCGAGGAAGTATTTTGTGCTACTGCATCTTACCAATCCAATATCCAATATTATTGGGAGAGGCCGAGTTCTGCCTGTTGTATAAGTAATGAATAAAACCTCTATAAGAAAAGTGCAACCAAGTCTCATCTCGCCTCCCAATTATTACGCACACACCACAACGACGACGACGATCGTCTCATCTTCCTCATCACCACCATCAATGCAGTCAACCCCCCATAAACGGAACTTCACACTAAACTTGTAATAAAATAAATCGGCTCATTCGGCTGATGTATGTACTGCATATGATGAACTAACGAAATGTGAAACGGAGTTTATAATAGCAAAGTGCTATTAGCAATGGTACCTTTTTTTCCCGCCCAGAGTTCAACGCTCACGTTGGGGCTACGATTTTACGCGCGATAAATCTGATTACGCATTGCCAGTATAAGCTACCCCGGTTTTTTGGGGTACTGGAATTTCGAAATTGTGTATTTATATATTTTTTTAAGATTTCATATCACTGAACATTTCAATAATTTTAAATGTACTTACATAGCTCAGCATTTAAATAAAACTTTTCTGACTTGTATTTATTCTTCGTTTTTAAATAAATATGTTTAAAATTTAGACTTTAAATCCTTTTCTGTAATATTCTCTTAGGAAATTACATTACTGATGCTGGGAGATTTTGGTCTGTCCAAATGTGTGGGACAAAATGTGTTGGACGAGGTGAGCAGAAAAACAGGTAATTAATTACATACTTATTGACTAAAATATTGAGTACGAGAGGCAAATGGAAACGGTACGAATTTAAACACATGGATTAATTAATTAACTTTGCAGACCTTAACCTAAATGACCTATGTACATATTAATTCCTTTAAGGTAAACTTAACTTGCAAGGATACTCATCTGGCAGCGGAAGCTCCACTTTCGGAACTTTATTATATCGCAGTCCGGATCAAGTAAGCATTAAATGTTTTTCTTATTTCGCTGGATGGTCCCTTTGAAGAAAAATATTAAGGATCGAAGTACCCACGAGGGCTTTGATTTTTATCTCGTTTTGGGAATGGTAGAGAAAACTTACTAAAAAAATTAAACTTTTTGGGCCAAAATATTCCTTAAAAGGGGCCATTTCACTTAATTAGAAGTGCAATGTGATTCCTAATTTAATGTGTAAGTCGTCACTGACACCGCCAAAGGTTTTCAGTCCAGTTTTATTTTGGGAATACTTGCGCACTTCACGCCTACTCCTTTAGAAGTCATCAGAAACACGGTTATATCTTCAATTACATCGATTTGCTATGAAAATAACTCTGAATCTAGGAAGACAATTATGGCTTCGAAGTAGACGTGTATGCAATGGGGCTTATCGTGGCAGAACTATTTCTTCCTTATCCAGCAAAACTGGTGCTAGAAAAACTCAAGGAATTCACGAGTGGGGAGGCGTGTACTCTTCCAGGCGAAATTAACTCCGCCAAGATCCCCGCGCCTTTGTTGGAACTAATTTTGCAAATGATGTCGAAATCGCCACAAGATCGACCCGACTCAAGCGCAGTTCATTCCAGGATTTTGGAAATTATTAGGGCCACGTTGCTTTTACCTGTTGACTATTATATTTTCCCGCTGGAAAGGAATAGCCGACGTATATTCGATGGGGAAGCATACCATGCTCAAGACATATAATTCTTTGACCAGCGCAGTTTGAGAGACCAACCTTGTAGATATATTTAGTGTGCTATCTGTGCAGATGAGCCAAATTTAGAGCCTTAGGGGCACCGCAAGATGGTGAAAAGACCCGGTCGTTAAGAGAAATGTGAAAATGCGGGAAAAGGTTAAGGTCCCTTCGTTGGGTGGAGATTCTGCTAGAAAACTAGGCCTTTTCGTTCATACCTTTTTGGCATCTGCGCACGAACAGCTGTTTCTACATAGTGGGTTGTTGTTTTTTAAACTGAGGTGGTCAGGAAACAATCTTGGCAGAACATGGTATGCGACCACATTGTTAGTCGATTTTTTAAAGGTCGCGAAACTTGGATTGAACGACCAGAACTTGCACGACTTCTTTATTTATATAACGAGAAGAAAAACCATGCCGTGGTATTAAGTGGGCGAGCAGGATTTGGGAAAAAAAATTTAGCCCTACAATTCATTCAAAAGTTGATGATAAGTGAGAGTGGGACGTCGATAGTTTGGATCTCTTTGGAGGACAAGGGCACATTTTTGTATAAGCTTCAGCTATTGGGGCGACGGTTGAAAGCGAATATATCACAGTGGACAGTGGTTATCCGTTCCCGGTAAGTGCAGAATGTAGAGGCTTCTTTGTTTTTTATCTAAGCATGTATTTGAGAAGGTTACAGTATTAAATTTTTGAATACATAAGCACGTGGCTCCCCAATACATGCTAAAGCCACATCTGATTTAATTTCTTGTAGAACATTAAAAAATTTCTGTCCATTACTCTTTTGCCGAAAACTGGCCGTCTGACCTGCTACAATAGTCAAATCAGTAGGGCAGATATTCCTATACTGAGGTAATTTAGGTGATGCCAAAATTTGGCAGGTAACACGGTCAGTTGTTGGAAATATGGACAAAATGTATTATGCTCTGTAAAACATAGATATGCGTGTCGTAAATATGTACTGGGAGGCGTAGGCGGTTGGGAGAGATTCAGAGAAACCCCGGGTCACATTTAGTCTGTTTTTAATAAATTAAATAATTAGGTTTACTACTTGACAATTTCCTATCTTATGCACAGGTGCCCGACATGATTTCCATGATCCACGACGCCTTCCGTGCAGTCAAGGAAAGAGGGTAAGATTTAGCCGAAAAAGAGCTAAATTTAGCTCCGGCTTTATTTAGCCGATCCGGAGCTAGATTTAGCTCCGAAAGCTAAATCTAGCTCCTCAAGCTCAATTTTACTCTGAAAAAGAGCTAAATTTAGCTGATCCTCGGCTACATTTAGCTTGGTCAGATTTTGAAAAGACCGACCGACTTTATTATGCACTGACGGTTGCTTTTGTCAATTAGGTAAATTAAGCAGGTTTCACTTAACAAATAAGCAATGGCCCAGCTTTATGTGATCTGGCCCACCGTGGTTACAAACACTTAAAAGTGAAGGTTATTTTAAATTCATAGTTATAGATTGAAGGAGTTCCTCTTTGGCATCCAACCGTGCACAACGTGTCTCTCTCTCGCTCTGCAACTGGATTCTCTTCCATCTGGGTCGCGGGTGTGCCAGGGCAAGTAAAGTGTGTCCCAAGGCCTTATCGCCATGTGAGCCTCGTCCACTCACACCCCCACCTGCGTGCCTGGTGACACCCCCCGCCACACCCGTCCCAGCAACGACAAGCTGAGCCATCAGGCGAAGATGGATTGCGCCGGACTCTGTGCACGGGAGGATCTACGCCAGGAGGACTCCCCCAGGTAGGTCATTGTTGGGTATGTCGGGGTGGTGACCGTGGGGGTGCTTGGTGGAAGAGTGAGGACGGGGTCGTGCATGGCGGTGGGCAGCGTAGTCGGGCCTACGGGGGTCCCATGTCCCGGTTGTGTTGTGAGGGGTGAAGGGGCAAGTGGGTAGTGTCACTCGGCCCTGGTCACATTGCGTGGCCGTGAAGGGGACACATAGCCCGTGCCCGTGAGGGCGCTAAGGTATTTCGTGGTCCGTGGACGCCCCGCCCAACAACCTTCACTCATCTTGCTTCCGCCGTCACGACGCCGTCCTCATTTGGATATCACCACTATCTCATAGAATCTGCCTATGATCTCTATCGTTCATTGTCCTATCTGGTGTCCAGGTAGTCAGAGCCGAATGGACCTCTGGGCCACATTCCCAGAGGTGATGGAGGTTTTCCTAACTCTCCACCATAGTTAGGTTTTTCCTCCATTCCTCTGACTACCTATTTGGTTATCTAAACATTTGCACATATGTACAACTCTGTAACTCTGTAATGATGAGGGCCTCGGCCATATCAAATGAGAAATAAATCTATCTATCTATCTATCTATCTAGTTATAGATTGAATAATTTAAATTTGGCGGAAGACTTTGAACAAAATTTATCATACGGAGCTAACTTTAGCTCCCGATCGGCTAAATAAAGCCGGAGCTAAATTTAGCTCTTCTTCGGCTAAATCTTACCCTCTTTCCTTGACTGCCGTGGCCAAAAGTGGATCCTAGTTCTTGACAATTGGATACTCCGGCGTTCCTTGGAAAGATCCGTGCTACTTGAAATGATCAAACTGCAGCAAAACGACAACCATCCGAATATGCCTTTCCTTCTCGTAACTACTCGGGAGCCGGGGATTGTTCAAGCTATGAATGAAGATCGGGAACGATATATCGGAAAGGTTTTTCCAGAAAAGTATACCACTTTAAGGTTAGACTGATGAAGCGTTACAATTCCCTACGACTTGTATGGTCATTTTCGTTATTTTGAGGGGAAGCATTTTATGTAATTCGTATGTAGGTGTAACTTTCATATAGCAAATTTTGCTTAAACTTCTGTGTAACACAGAAAATTTAGCGTGATTTAAGGACATTGTTAGGCAATCTATTTATTCAGTCCTCGGTTTCAAATACTAATGCAAATTTTTAGTATTCATTAAAGTACAGTTTTATAAGTTGAATTACGATGCGAGCTAATTGATATAATGGAATGGAATATAATCCTCACAATTATAGCCATTTCATAAAACCTGCAGCCGTAGTCACCTAGTATTAATAGTGTTCTCTTACATGACCAATTGTTAACGATTTTTAGGATTGCCCAAAAACGTTGGCTTGGCGTTTATCCAGACGTCAACATTGTCGAGGTTGCGCTCCCCCTTTGCCCCTCGTTTGGTTTGGAATATCTCTCGCGGCTATTACAAATGCCCCAAAGTTGTGCCTTGCTTTTCAAACTGGGCCACCTGTTGAACTGGAATCCGCTCTCATTGCGCTTAGCAGGATGTAGTATTGCCTTGATGGCGCCATCGGTTTCCACTCTTGCCGGTGAAACTGAAGTCGAAAAGTATCTGGCACTACTTCTCGAAAAATTTGACAAATATGGCGGAAATTTTAAGCAAGTTCCACCATTTCACGGACATTCTCTCAGAACAATGCGCAGATACACGGAGGATTACACACTTTTAGTGGTTCTATATCTCACAATGTGTCAAATTGAAGGGGTTCTTTCCGGCCAAGAGGAACTCCTTGCATGCGTCCATTCGATACAGTCAGACCTGCTTACGTATATTTGGCCTAGATTAAACAGTACGAGAAATGAGTTTGGAACAAGAGAAGAAGAAGCTCGCAACATTTTAGAAACGTTTGGCTTAATCACAAAGTGCGAAGAGAGCGGGAAATACTTTCACATTTGTGGGAATCATTTGGCCCATGCGACAAGACATATGGACGATTTGGAGAACGAGGAGGACGAAAGGGTCGAAGTGGGCGAAAGTTGGAGGGGTTATAACAGATATAACTGGCGAATTTGAGCCATATGTACCTATGTAAATATTTCTTCATTCGATATTCATTTAATTATGAATTAGATAAAGTATTCATTCATTACTAGTTTATCCAAAATATGAAAATCAATATTTATGTATTAGGTAGTTATTCTGTAATCATTTTTGTATTCATTTTATCTCAAATTTGCTATATGCAGTTAATGTGAATAGATGGATTTCTCTATATACCCAATGTGTTAAAAATATGATGAATAATGAGCAAAAATGAATAAAATGTTCACTCATTCTTCGTGAATTTGAAATGAATAAATATGTCTTCAATATACATTCATTCAAAAATTTTGAAAAGATTAACAATGCGATGGTGTACCCCTCCGATTTGACTGAAATTTTGAAATTATGTGGTCAGAATTTGCCAAAATACTTAAGGGCAAAGGTTGGGTTCCATCCTTCCCGTTACGGTTGCGCCCTCCGAGCGCAGTTTCTGGAAATTGAAAGTAGTCAAAAATTATCTTCGCAGCACGATGTGCGAAGAACGTCTATCAATCATAGGAATACTGAGCGTGGAACAAAACAGGCTAAATGTATTGAATATTGATGCACTAATCATTCGGTTCGGGTTAGATATTTTTTTTTCAACCGAAAAATTTCGATTCGGTTCGGATTAATCCGGCAAAATGTTCAACTCTAGTTCAACGCCTGTACATCATGCCTGTTCACATTCATTCAATATACCGAAGCGAATAAATGAATGAGTGAATAATTCATTGCATGAATGAAGAATGAATGAATAATTCAAAATGAATTTCGCGGTGAAGAAATTTTTAATGAAGGCAAAATATTGAACAGGTATTATTTATTATTTGAACAGGACCACACAGGGAAGACACCATAGTATTACAAGTTCCTTTAGTTATTTTGGGGGTTGGGGAGCTATGATTACCTGCCCGTATCCCTCCTTCGCTCAGAGCGGAAGATTATAAAGAAACTAGCCTATAAGCCCGTCTTAAAGACGGTCCAAATTTAGGGTCCTAAACGAACCAACAAAAATCATAGGATCAACGAAGTAAATATGTAACTGGCGCGAATTTTGTTAACGGAATTTTTTAAATGTAGCCAAGGAATTTGTTAGCGTTGCTAAGGCACTTTTTAACGTTGCTAAGGAATTTTTTTACGTTGCTAAGGAATTGTTTAACGTTGCTAAGGAATTTTTTTATGGTTGCTAAGGAATTTTTTTAACGTTGCTAAGGAATTTTTTAAACATTGTCAAGGAATTTTTTAACGTTGCTAAGTAGTTTTTTTAACGTTGCTGAGGAATTTTTTTAACGTTGCTTAGGAATTTTTTTAACGTTGCTAAGGAATTTTTTTAACGTTGCTAAGGAATTTTTTAAACATTGCTAAGGAATTTTGTTAACGTTGCTAAGGAACTATTTTAACGTTGCTAAGAAATTTTTTAAACATTGTCAAGGTATTTTTTAACTTTGCTAAATAGGAATTTTAGGATTTTATTTTTATTTTATTTTATTTGGGTACGGAGAATTTTGCAGGTAGCTAACGAATACTTTTAGGATTCTTTAAACCTAAATCATAACAGAAATCGCCGAAATCACAACCTAAATCATAACTTAAATCGTAACCGAAATCATAACCGAAATTATAACCGAAATCATAAGCGAAATTATAACCTAAATCATAACCGAAATTATAACCTAAATGATAACCGAAATCATAACCGAAATTATAACCTAAATCATAACCGAAATCATAACCGTGCTGTGATTGGTGGAGCCAGAATTTCAACAGCCAATCAGAATGCAGGGATGTCACGGAAAATTCCACGGGACGGACTTTTGGAAATTATAATATAGATGAGCAAGGGAAGGGATAAACGAAGAACTGACTACACGGGAGCTAACAACTTGATACTCATTTGTGAAGGACCGAGGACAAAGAATGTCCCCCTGACATGTGGATATGTGGTCTAAAGACAAAAGTCCAAATCGAACGTCAGGTAAACCACAATACGCTCTAAAAAAATCCGGTAATAAATTCTAAATACCGCGTATTAACGCTTGCGTGGTAAGATAAGGTATTATCATTAGCGGTAGTATGATAACGCTCCATTAGATAAATACCATTAAATACCAGAAATACCTGATCATCAGTTAATTTAATTTTAAGTGAATAGATAATCAAAAAACAAGCATAAGACTTTTGTACTTTTAATTATAATTATTTAATAATATGTACACAAGTATTCAAAACCTCGATTGGCAAGGTTAGTTTAGTTCATAGGTAGTGATTGACAACTTGAAGCTAAAATACTTACAATGAAACAGAATATAACCTGGTGCAGATTACATATTTACATTAAATTTTTCATGGGATCCACCCCCACAGGCATTCAGAAGATATTACGTCGGAATTGTATTCAGTCCGTCTATTTTCTTTGAGAAGTTTATAGTTTTTTTAGTGTAGAAATTTTTATGCTCGTATTTATTCCGATAAGGATTGTGAAACAATTTCATATTTTACTAGGGACAAACAATCGTGTTTTTATGGCATGGAATATAATATCTGTATTTTCTAAATTTTCCAGGCGTTAAATTGTGCAGGAAAAACTAAAAGTTATAATATGTATCTCTGATAAAAATCTGGAATTCAAACTTGATATAAATTTGTTTAAGATGATGCGTTTTATTACTTGTAAATATTTACGGAATGAAATTTAACATCCATTGTTAATCATACCTGTTTACGAATATGTATGTACCCAAAACCTCGAATGGCAACATATTTACGTAAATAAGTAAGTATTTATGAATAAATTAAACCATAAAATATTTTCCATGAGAACAAAGCGAAATCAGGTACACAATTGTATTAAATATTTCTTGACATCCATCTGAACGTAGGTTGTTCACGTATTACGTGCAAAATGTAATCAGTCCGTCATTTTTCTATTTCTCTTTAATCATAATGTGAGTCACAAAAAATAATGGTATTTTTGACAAATTGTTCTCCCATTATTTCGGATGACGACCCATTTGAATGGACCCTAGATGGAAATCCATCCTGAAACGAGTGAAATACCGAAAAAATAGATTTATTGTGTAATTCGGACTAGATTTCCCACGCAAGGTGGAGGCAACACGTCTGACGTAATTCTGACCTATGTGCAATATGTACATCTGGTTTGGTCAGGCAGGTATTACTTTCTCGGTATTAAACTTGTTACCGGTTGGCATAATAATTTTACCACTACATAAATATTTCTTGCCGATACGGTGAAACTTCAATTCTTTTGCATACCTGCAATTGTATTCCTTATAAATATGTACCATGTGAATACTGATACTGATGTTAGTCGTGAATACTAGTTGGGATTATTCTAACACTTGATTTAAAGGAGTGCGAACTTGCAGCACGTGTAATAAAGTAGCGGAAGCAACGTGCTTACACGTGACTTCGTCGCCGTAGCTAGATCTGCTTCTGCTGATTCGTACCTACTTTTAGGCGTCCTGTTTCGATTTGCCGATTTCGAATCATCACATAGGGTGATTTATGGGAACAATAAAAATGGTCTTTATTCTGGTCAATAAAGTTTTTCGCAATGCATTAAAATGGTTACCAGTTCTACACACGTATGCATTTTCTCACATTTTTATTTATCTATTTATTATGCTATAGATAAATTTATTTCGCAGTTGAGCAAGACCCCAGAAGGTCAAAGGTACCATGGATGAAGCATCGTTGGAAAGGTACGTTAAGAAAATAGGTAGATACACTCTTAGAACTGTGGTAATAAAAGTGCATACTCGTTTATTACCGAACGGTTGGTAAATATAGACTATCCCGTAGCAGTAATAAAATTGTTTACCAAAATTCATTATAATGAAAAAACTTTATTTCTTATTGTGTGGTATTATCGGGAAAACCAAAGCGGTAATATAAAATTACCAAGTAATGTTAATTTAACACTGCATTGAGGAATATGATTAATACTGCCTCGCATTAAATCTTTTCGTTTAATGGGTAATAAGTTAAAACTCTAATGCGGTGTAGTTTTAATACTACTCCGGTAAATATCTTTTGCAAACTCGACCCCGCAACATTCAAAAGCACTGGGACTCGCTCTCAGAAAATTTGTTCGTTTAGAATTCCTTTCAAGCTGGTTCTTAAAGGTAAATCTAAAGGTAATTAGATTAATGCTAATTAATTTGTTGATGCCAAAGTGTAACTTATTCATTTTTAAATGTACATAAATTTCATTTTTAGTCACTGCAAAGTTTGCTGCCAAACTGATCGAGCTACAAATGGTGAGTTTGTTCTAAAACATAAAACACCGTTTATTGATTAGTTAACTAAATTTGTTTTTCTTGTTCCTTTAGGGATTCATCAGTAATTCAAGATCAGAAGTCATTTGCTGAAACTATTGTTGAGATCTTGCCATTTTGGACATCTCCAGGGACTGCTCTTGGAATTGTAAATTTTAAGTTGAAGGTACTATTTTAAATAGTCTATTTATGAAATTTTAACTAAAAAATATTGTGTATAATTTTGACGTTCTAAAAAATATGATTTAATAAAATATTTTTTACGAATATTTACCAAATTTAGTGTAATCATTACCACAATAATAATTAACATTCCCCCAGGCAGTAATAATATTAATACCAAATTATATTAATAATACACCAAGCGGTAATAATGGCATTACAATGGTAACTAATTATTACTGCAAAGGAGTTTTTGTTGTTACTCAGCAAAGCTGTTTTTAATACCTCGTTAAAATGAATCAATCCCGGGTCAGTAACTTTGGAAATGGTTACCGCACGGTAAATAAAAAGTTACCACGGCAGTAGAGTCACATAGATACTCCGCCTGGTAAGAATTTCGGTAATGAAATTCTTAAGAGTGTACATATGCATTGGTAACTTTGTAGGGTTGATATCTCCTGGTTTTTATCGGAAAAAATTCCCACGCTTCTCCTCTCATTAATTATGCTCCAATTAATTATCGAAGTAGGGATTTCACGTGTCAGGTACGTACTCCTTGTTTCAGGAGACCGGTATCATTAAGGAGATGAAATCAGTGACCAGTCGTAAAATTTAATGAGATGAAATACCTAACTTTTGGTCAGAACGAGAGTAAACTTTGGGTTGACTGGAGTGAATATTAGTTCCGCGGATAAAAGTACGTGATTAAAATGTTGTTAAGTGTGCTCTTGGTGGTTGTCGTCATACTCCACGAGATTCCTGCGCAGGGAATAAACGAAGACTTGGTAATAACTTTGGAACAAAAAGAAAAATTGGACGAGGTAAGACCAATTTTGGTCTGGTAAAGTTACTTGAATTGTTTTCAAAAAAATTATGTAGAAGGATTCTTAAATATTTTAACTTTCAAATTTCTGACAGGGTTTCACAAGCTGAAATATGATAATCTATGAAATACAATTATTTATTTAAGTCCAGTACTCAAGACAATTATTGGCGTGAAAAGGTTTAGCGAAATAGTTAAATAATTAATAGTTAAACACTTAGATAAATATTTTCAAGAAATCGTATGGCATGTAAATTGCAATTACTTGATTATCTTAATAACTATTCTAGCACAAGTATTTGCAAACTAAAATAAAAAAAGAATATGTGTATGTAATTAGTAATTAGTGAACTAATTATGTGCAGTTTAGAGAAATTATGGAACCCAAGTTGCCTCATGACTACATGAAGATGGACATATATCTTATCCGGTGGCTGAAAGGTACGCAATTAATCAGTTCAGAAAATTCTAAACGGCTATTTTTTATACATTCATTTTCTAATCAGCACGAGACTTTGATATTCCTGCCGCTACCCGCATGCTGCGAGAGGTAGTCTTGTTTTACATGTTACCAATTCTTAGTAAAGTGGTTTCCATCAAGTTTATGCAGTTGGCACCGTTGAATAATATCACTCATTCCGCTTTACGTCCTTAATGCATTCATAAATATATATTTGTATCGATCACACTAATGTTTCGTATTATTAGATTAGCAAAATTCTTATTACTTCCACCTTAATTAAGAACGAGGTTTTCAAAAAAAAGCGGGGATGCGAACTGCATGAACCTATCTATCACCAGATTATAGACATTGAAGGAGTGGTACTCGAAATTAATAATTTATACAATAACATAAATACGACATATTCACTCGAAACGTTTAGAATCTCCACTGGCGTGAAGAAAACGGAATGGACAGCATATTGGACGAAGATTGGACCGAGTTTAACACCCAGTATCGTTTCAACCTGGAAGGCTGCGATGATAACGGTGCTCCAGGTATATATGTAGTTTTAGGGTTATCTGTAGAATATCACGCCAAATTCTTTTTGTTATATTGGAATAGATACAATTATTCCAATATAATCATTCACTTACATAAATACATTATGAACGCACTTAATTTTCAAAAGGTGAAATTATTTTTAAAAGTGTACATCCCCAGGATCACAAAGAACGTTAAACATCACCTTAAAAACAATTGAATTTTTGCAGTTGCCGTGCTATTCGTGGGTGAGTGGGACATGCGCAGGGCCGCCTTGGCCGGACAGTCAGACAAAATGCGGCGCTTCATTGACAAGTTGTTTGAAGAGGTGACCACGGTTTTAAGAACTCAACAAACTCGTGGGTACAACGCGACGAGGGTGAACATCATTTTGGACGCGGCTTCGCTCAGTTTCCAAGTTCAGGCTTGTCCCCGGTGTAAGTATATTCAAGCTAAAGTTATTAACCCTTTAAAGAGAGTACTTGAGTGTGTAATGACAAGGAAGCGCATCTGTTTGTGGACGCTATAAGCATGTTGGGGTCATCCAGATGGTTGAGAAATTGAAATGGGTACACTCAAAACAAAACAGTGTCAATATATGACTTAACTGGCTTGATTATAATTGTGATTCCGAGTAGTAATGAATTTTTTCCGACCGGTCATAACATTATAACTACCGGTATCAAAATCATCATAACTCGGATTCAACATTGTAACCAAGGCGGTTAAGTCATATATTGACACCGACCGTGTTGATTCGACAAATTTTTATTTTGAGTGTAGTTAACTTAAAAAAATTGAAACATTTAGACTTGAACAGTTGGTTTTATTAAGGAATACCCTAATTTTCGGCAAGAAAATTCCTACATTTAAGATTTGGGGACATGTCTCAAAATGGCGACCTGAGTGTCGAGGAATTGAAACTAAAAACATTTTTCAATTCTTTATTTAGGCAGAAATGTGGTTAAGTATGTATAATGCCTGGACCATATTTAATTATGCAACGGTATGAATTGTAAGATTCGGTTTTACGGAAATTTTGGAATTACATATGTACGTAGTTCAAGTTGCTACAACCAATGTTTATTCGAACTCCATAACTTGCAAAATTTCAAGAAAAATCTGACTGTTACACTTCAGATCGTCCCACTGTTTGCAGCAGGGTTTCCTCTTGTGTTAATAATTGATTTGTCACTTTCCAGGTATTCCGTTCTATATTTACCTCGTGCAAACACTTGGGGCCCACTTCCCAAATACAGTCAACGTTTGTCTCGTCGTCAACAGTAAGACGGCAAAAAATACATGTTCTCACACTGCATAAACAAGTTTATCTAACTTTTTGCACACATTACATTCAGCTCCGGACATTGCGGTCCCACTCTGGAACAACATTATCAAGCCTGTCGCACCTCCAGATGTTCGGAAGCTGGTGGACGTCTACGGAAGGAAGAGGAGTGTATGGCGGGAAGCTTTGTTGACCAAGTATGGCATCGATTGGACTAAAATGAGTCACGACATGGGCGGGGATGGACCTGACCCCGTCGATTCGAATGATCTCAGAAAGAATGGATATTTGTACGAGTGTCCAGAATTAAAATAAATTTAATATGTCACATTGTTTTTATTCGTAAGTAAATTCTTATGAGGTGTGTGAGTTGTAAATTCACGTTGGTTAATTTATGAGTGTGTGTATGTTAAGTGTAGCGCAACTTGAATTAGTGTGCACCAGTTTCTTAGCATAAAGCTCTATGGTTGTGTAAATGATTTCGTAGTTAACTTCAATTGGTTAATTTTATATTAATATTAACTGGTTTATTTATGTTTCAATTAATTAGTACATACAAACTGTGTATGATACTATTTCTATTAGTTGATTTGGGGTAATGTGATACAACTATTTCTGATAGGTAACTTGATACAACTACTTTGATGGGTAATTTGATACAAGTAATTTGCAATCTCAATTTCCCATTTGGGGCAATCTGAGATTTGCGATTCACTCTTGTGCAGAACAACCCTCTGTTACAAAAAGATTAAATGGGCGTTACGCGGGCTTTGGTCCGTGGCTAGCTTTATACTGCAGAGCGGACGGAAAAGCACCCGTGTATGCTAAATCTCACAGTTCATTCCAGCTAAAATAAGTCTATTTCCGCATTATATACATAAACACAATAGTTTGTTCATCATTGGAACAAATGCATGCATACATTACATACTACCATTTCTACCTGTTTAGCAAACTACAAAGCTGGACAACTCAGTCTGCATAAGATGAGTTTGCACTCTGCTTGCTGCCAGTGTTCTGTGTTGCAAAACATTGATTTGCATGCTTCGGTTTGCTTCTACTGCAAAACCAATGTAAATTGCGTTCAATCTGCATCTTAAATGCAAACTGAACACAAAATGCAAACTACACATTACAACTCCAATTGCATTCATATTCCTACATATTAGGAATCTGAATATTCCGGCCCCCTCGGACTAACTAGTTCTAAAATAATATTACTTAATACTAACTAAAATTAATTTTCAGTCTTTAGATCAGCGTTTTCTGTTTCGACGGGTAGTAGGCACAGCTTTACGATGGGTCGCTCGTACTCTCCAGTAGCTGCTCTCACCAGTACCTTTCTGACCTTCTGATCTGCTCCTGGTTTAACTTCTATAACTCGTCCAAGTTTCCAATGTAAAGGTGGCAAGTTATCTTCCTTGATTATTACCAGTGAGCCTTCTTTAATGGATTCCACTGGTTGCATCCATTTTGGTCTTTGTTGTAGTCTGACGATATATTCAGATGACCATCTTTTCCAGAACTGTTGTAGCATCTGTTGAACTAGCTGCCATCTCACGAGTCTGGTAGTTGGGATTTCAGTTAAATCCGGATCAGGGATCGACGTCAATGGTTGACCAATGATGAAATGTCCAGGTGTCAGTGCTCTTAAATCCGATGGATCAGTTGACTCAGGCGTTAATGGTCTTGAGTTTAGCACTGCCTCGATCTGGCTTGTAAGAGTTGTCAGCTCTTCGAATGTTAATCGATTTAATCCCATTATTCTTCTAAGATGGTATTTGGTCGATTTCACCCCTGCCTCCCAGAGTCCTCCGAAGTGTGGCGCTGAAGGTGGGTTGAAATGCCAAGATATTCCTTCCTTAGACATTGTTAATGCGATCTGATTATTGTGGCTTACATTGTCGGTAAGTTTCTGCAACTCCTTTAGCTCCTTGTCAGCTCCGACAAAGTTTGTGCCGTTATCGCTGTATATGTCTGATGGCTTGCCTCGCCTAGCTATGAATCTTCTTAAGGCAGCAATAAATGCTTCAGTGCTGGCCGAACTAACAACTTCTAAGTGTATGGCTCTAGTCGCACAGCAAATGAATATCGCTAAATATGCCTTTAATGTCACCTTACTTCTGGGTGTAATAGGTCGAATCAAGAAAGGTCCAGCATAATCGATTCCACATTTCTGGAAAGTATGGGATGGAGTTACTCGAAATGAAGGTAGATCTGCCATCATCTGTTGCATGGTTTCTGCTCGATTTCTTGTACAGATGACACATTTTCGAATGATCCTCCTCACAGCATCCTTTCCTCGAACAATCCAATATCTTTGTTGTAGATAAGATAATAAAGTTTGTGAACCAGCATGTAGGTTCAACAAATGCGCATTTTCTATTATCATCGTTGTAATTCTGTGATGCGGTGGCAGCAGAATTGGATGTTTCTGATGCACAGGAATGCTTGCATGACGAAGCCTTCCCCCCACTCGCAAAATGTTGTCTTTGTCGATGAATGGGTTCAACGATAATAAGCTGCTTTTACTGGATAACTTCCCTTTAGTTCTAAGCTGCAACAGATCTGAAGCGAACTCTTCCTCTTGAGCGATACAAATCCAACGTCTAAGAGATACCTCAAGTTCCACTGTCGACAGCCAAGGGTTACTAATTGATTCAGCTGCAAATCCATGTTTCTTCTGGACTGCTGCTCTCGTATTATTTATAAATCTTAATAATCTTGCTGTGATTCGTTGCAATCTGGTTAATGTTGAGTACCTGAGAATCAGATCTCTCGGTATTCTAATATTTGTTAAATGACACACTGAAGCATCACGTCTTTCTTCACTTGGCTCTTATTTACTCACAACTTCACTTGTTTGGTACAGGTGGTTTCTCATTCAACCAAGACGGCCCGTTCCACCATAATGGATGGTTAATAAATTCTTGTACACTTATTCCACGAGATGCACAATCAGCCGGGTTATCAATTCCACGAACGAATCCCCATTTATCTCCCGGAATTAATTCTTGAATTTTGGTAATTCTATTTGCAACAAAGGTTTTATACTTATACGGTTCAGACCTAATCCATCCAAGAGTTAGTGTTGAATCTGCATAGGCCACCATATCAGTAAAGTTCATTTTCAAAGCCTTTGCAACTAACGGCATAAATTCTGCTAACAGTAGTGCTCCACAAAGTTCCAACCTTGGTAACGATTGTTGCCTTACTGGCGCTACTCTAGTCTTTGAGGATACCAGATATGATAATCCGTTTCCTTTTTCATCATAATACACCAAATAAACTACAGCTGAATACGCTTGTTCAGACGCATCACTGAATCCTACCAAATATGTCTGTCGATTTTTTCCTGAGTGACCAACTTGCGCTCTAGGAATTTTTAACATTTGTAAATTTTTCAGTTCAATTTTAAAATTATCCCACTTTTGTTGAATTGTTATTGGCACTAAATCATCCCAGTTCAAATTTTCTTTCCAAATTGATTGCATTAAAATTTTTGCATTAATTATTATGGGTGCGCACCAACCAATGGGATCGAATAATTTCGAAATTTCAGATAGAATCACTCGTTTTGTTAATGAACCTACTTTTACATTACCAAATATATCAGCTCTAAATCCAAAACAATCTTGAGCGGGGTTCCAATAGATTCCAAGTGTTTTCACAGTTGCGTCTTTATCAAATGTCAGCGATTTTGTTTCTCCCAGATCTTCAGGAATTGACATAAGAGCTTTTTCGGAATTTGAAGTAAATTTTCTGATTGACATTCCGCAACGTTTCAATAGTTCAATGATTTCGTGCTGAAGTTTTACTGCATTCTCTTCAGTGTCAGCTCCAGACAATAAATCATCCATATAAAAATCTTCTTGTAACACTGGTGATGCAATTGGAAAATCAACTTGTTTTGCTAACTCGCTTAGCACACGAGTAGCTAAATATGGACCAGCAGCCGTGCCATAAGTAATTGTTAGTAATTTATAATGTTTAAGTGGTTGATCTGGCGATTCCCTCCACACAATATGTTGAAATTCTTGATCATCACTCGATACAAGGATCTGTCTGTACATTTTTTCAATATCAGCATTTATTGCAATTTTATGCTTTCGGAATCTCATTATTAAGTTTGCTAATTTGTCTTGAACAGTAGGTCCAACCATCATTGTATCATTCAATGAGAGGCCGTTAGACGTTTTAGCTGATGCGTCAAATACTACGCGAAATTTGGTCGTGGTAGATGATTCTTTTAACACAAAATGGTGGGGTAAATAGCATCTAAATTCGCTATCTTTGTTTGGTGGTGGCACTTCTATCATATGCCCCAAGTTTATGTAGTCATCCATAAATTTTTTGTATTCTACAACATAGTGTTTATTTTTATGGAGTCGCCGTTCTACTTGCTTGAAACGATTTATTGCAATATTTAATGATTCCCCTAACTGCACTTTAGGAGTTTTAAATGGGTATTTCACAATGAACTCACCCGCTTTGGTTCTTTGAACAGTATTTTTAAAATGGTCCTCACACCGTTTTTGCTCAGCACTGAGCAGTTGTGAGTCTTGCACTTTTTCTATTTCCCAGAAACTTTTTAATAATGCATCCAGCTTTAAATTCTGGTCATTTTCAATTGATTTATTAATTTGAGTATGATACAATTTCATCTCATTTTGATTATTAGTTCGGCCGCCGCCAATTAACCATCCTAATTGTGAATTAATTGCGATCGGTCCATTGGAATCCCCTTCCTTCTCCCCATCGATTATATTATAAAAGAGTTCAGCTCCGATTAATATATCGATATCAGCTGGGGTTTGAAATGTCGGATCCGCGAGTTGATTATTTGTTTTACTTTTGATTATTTGATTATGAAGACGGCTGACAGTGCTTTCACCTATCTTCGCAATTGGTAACCTACTAATTTTTGGTACCACGTAAGCTTCCATATGGAAAGTTTTATTTTTATCGAAATGTGGACAAAAGGTAATATTCACGATTCCCTTTGCACATCCGACTTGATTCTGACCTAGTCCACTAATTGGTACATAGGTTTTTCGTTTTCGCAATTTCAGCCGATTGGCGCATGATGCAGTTATAAAATTATTTGTTGATGCATTATCTAACAATGTTTTACAGTTCACAAATTCATTTAAATTATTCTTGATGGCCACACAGGCTGTTGCTATTATTGGATAGCAATCTGAAGGCGTTTCTAGTCATTCAGAATTGTTGTAGAACAAGCTGGATCCTCCATTACTTGAAGTTGAAGAGATGCCTTCACTCCTCCCCTGGGTGTGAAATACCTGGCTAGTTCTTTCTTGTTGATGTTCAGCTTGTTGCTGATTTCCTTGCTGTCGTTCATAATTCTGTTCCCTCCGAGAATTATAGTTAGCTTGCGTGTGCATATTTTGATTTTGAGCATCATTTCGTTGATTCTCAGCGGCGTTATTGTGAAGTAAATAACTATGTTGCTGATTACACTTTTTGCATCTAAAAGGACTCACAGATGCCATGTTTGGGTAGTAGACAAATATAACATAATTTTTCCCTTTTTACAAGCGCCCATCGACCTTCCACCGTTGCACCCTTAAATTCTCTGCATTTGTATAGTGGATGATTTTCCCTACATCCCATCTTACATTTTTTAGTGGGTGCTTGAGTGTGGTGCACGGTAGCTGTCTTCTTTTCAGACCCTGATTTCTGATTTGATGCAACATACGCAGTATTTTCTAACGCCATGGCATGCCGTTCTAAAAATGAAATTAGGTCCGCCAATTTGATTATGTCATTGTCCTTAAGACTATGCTCCCACAAGTCTTTTGCAGCAGGATCAAGTTTGCTTGCGATGTGATAGATGTAAAATTGTTCTGCATGTACATCCAGATTACAATGAAGAAGCTCCATGGATCTGATACATCTATTTGCGGCATCGATAAGGGCTTTGACGGATTTTGACGTTGCTGTTGCTTTTGGCTGAGAGCAAAACTTATCCTAAAAACTTAGAAAAGCAAACGCACTCTGATTTACCCAACAAGCAAGCCATATAAAGTTAAGATTTAACTTGACGAGTAAATTTTATGTACTTTGGATTTAGTTAGTCCAGTTTTCTTAACCTCTTAACGACGAAGTGCACACATTTGTGTAGTCGTTTTATTTTCCGCTGACGACATGTGTGTACTGCACAGATTACCCTAAGACCAAAATTTCTTTCGGAAAAGAGTATTTCTACGGTACTTTGTGGGAAATTAGATGGTAAAAGGTGGATTTTTTCCGACATTTTCCTTCTGAAATTTTGGAATTTTCCCTATACCGAGCAATGTTAAAAAGTGGATTTCTTTTTGGTTTTGTCAAAAAACTTTTAGTTGGTTGCTAGCAGGTGCAACTATGTATGCAATCAACATCGTACCAAGGGGAAATTTTATTTAAAAATCAGAGGTAAGAAAGAGGTCAATACAAAATTGAGACTGCATTTTCTTTTGGAAAGGGTAGCAAGAATTTTAAGAGTGTTTTCACCTTGCTCAGACCGGCGGATATGAACAGGTAGATGATATCAGCAGCTAGTAAAATCTGTAGAAACCAAATAAATGTGCATGTTAGACGTCTTGTTCAGAAAGAGTGGAAACTTTGTGCCGGCTGGATTAAATATTACGGAGTTACGCGGATAAAGTGTAAGTGATTGAAATGTTGCTACATTTCCTGCTTGTGTTCTGCTTACTCAAACAAATTCCTGCCGAAGGATTAAACGACGACTTGGTAATAACTTGGGAACAAAAAGTAAAATTGGACGAGGTAAGAAAATTTTCAAAATTAGGTACTGTGGTTGTTGAATTCAATAAGATTTATTTTCATTTTGCCTCCGGGTTATTGGGGTCTCCCCTGTTAAAAACATAGACTTGTAAGGGTGGAGCAGCTACTCAAACAAACAAAAAACATAGCCACCCTGAAAACAAACATTTGTCAAATCAACACCGCCAGTGTCAATATATGACTTAACCGCCTTGGTGAAAATGTTGAATCCGAGTTATGATGATTTTGATACCGGTAGTTATAATGTTATGACCGGACGGAAACATTTCACTACCACCCGGAATTACAATTGTAACCACGGCGGTTAAGTCATATATTGACACCGGCGGTGTTGATTTGACAAATTCTTGTTGAGTGCATGTTGAAGGAAGAAATAGGGATAATTTATGAATAATCGAGGGCGTCAAACCTTTCCCCTGAGAATTTAATGGAGTATGAATTTAATCAGTTTAATTAGTCGATAAATTGCTTTCAGTTTAGAACAATCATGGAACCCCACCTGCCCCACGACTACATGAAGGCGGATATTTATCTTCTCAGGTGGCTGCAAGGTACACAATTTGTTAACAGATGCACATTTTCATAAACCTCCAAATATGACCCGTATTATTTTCAAAACAGTTCGAAACTTTGATATTCCCGCTGCTGCCCGAATGTTGCGAGAGGTAGTTATCAAATTTACTAGTTAGTGCAACGATGTAGATCATATTTATTTATGTATTCTCTCGAAACTTTTAGAATCTCCGTTGGCGGGAAGAAAACGAAATGGATACCGTATTGGAGGAAGATTGGACCGAGTTTAACAACCAGTATCGTTTTAATCTGGATAGTTGTGATGATAAAGGAGCCCCAGGTAGGCTTGTGAATTTTGTATGCCTTACGTTGTACAAAATTGCGCCAGAATCATTCAACTTTAATCATTATAAAATTTTACGTATAGCGAGATGCACTTGAGGCGATCGTTAACAATTAAAAACAAATGGTTCAAGTTTTCAAGCTCTTTCGACTCGAAGGTTCATCTCGAAAAGAGAACTTGTGCATGTCTGGTTGTTTAGATGTAAAGTTTTCATTAGCGTAATATTTAATTTATTATTGTTCTTTCCATGTTCATTTTACATATTTACATTTATTTCGAAAAGCTAAACGACCAGCGCCGTACATAAATTTCCCTATCTGAATATTTAACAGCGTAATATTGGTAAACACATATGTATTGCACACCGGGGTGAAAAAATTAAGGGATTTTATGCATAAATTCGGCTGGGTTTTATGCAGAGAATTGGCTGAATTTTATGCAGAAAAATGTATGCACAAAATATGCTAAATTATGAATAATTGTGCGAAACCTTTCTGCTGAATATACCTGTCAGAACTTTTATACAGATCGTTCATACTTTTTCTGCACAAACCATTGTTTCGGGCATGTGTGTAGAATTTTCTCAAGTTCTATATACCATTTTCAAACGGGCATCTATATGTACATCGGTGAGTAATGATGTAATACCAATTTTGTCAAGTTAAGTCAACCTTTATCCGGGTATTAATGGATATCAGTTTACCAAACTGGTTTGATAACGATAACACTTTCAATCTGTAAAATCTATAAAAGCCAATTAACTAAATGTACCAGGAGCGGAAATTTTTACGTCTTAAACTTACTCAAAACAACGCTCTTGAATTTCAGTTGCCGTGCTTTTCGTGGGTGAGTGGGACATGCGACGAGCCGTGTTGGCTGGACAATCGGACAAAATGCGCCGCTTCATGGTGAAATGTTTTGAAGAGGTTACTACCGTTTTAAGAAACATGCAAGCACGTGGGTCAAACGCGACGAGAGTAAACATCATTCTGGATTTAGGCTCGCTCAATTTTCAAGTACAAGCTTGTCCCCGGTGTAAGTCAGAGTTATTGATCAATTCAGATCACACGCAATTAATAATTCTTGGATTCAAGTTTTATGTATGTCCCATTGGGGGTGGTTTTCATATATTACAGATATGACTTTATCTGTATATGACTGTATATATCCCTGTATATGAGTTTATCTTTCGCATAAAATTTCTTTTTTTTTGTTTTTGGGGCGAAGATTACGAAGATGTTTCGAAAATTAGAAAGTAACTTATTGAATTTTTGACAAGCCAATTAAAGGAAGTACTAGATGCGAGGTTGCCCGAAGCGATAACCTTTCGTTCTGGTCACCACATGCCGTGTAAATGACATGTATATTTTTTGTACTTGGTTGATGCGTATTTAAAAAAATACGCATGTACAGAAGGAAGGGTTGTAGGTTCGATTCCGGCCGAGCTCCCAATTTTTTTTGGTATTTGGCTTATTAAAAATTCAATGAGGTTACCTCTTCATCTTGTAAATAATTTACTTGTTTACTGGAATTTTCAAATCGGCTTACGTTACGCGATGTGTGAAGTGTAACCCCCCGATTTGGTTGAAATTTTGAAATTACGTGGTCCAAGTCAATACAACCAACGTTTCTCCAGGCAGTTTGTGCGATGGTTGGAATTTGTCACAATATTTTGAGGTCAAACTTGAAAAACGGGCGATGTTTACCAGGCGAAGGATGCAAACTCAACTTCCATTCTCTTCCGGTGCTAAAAATTACACATTTTTCAACTTTGACTTGCAATATTTTGCCAAATTCTGACCATCGCACAAACTGCCGCAAGAAACGTTGGCTGTATTGACATGGACCACATCATTTCGAAATTTCAACCTTGTCGGAGGATTACACTTCACACCATCGCATTGTAAGTAGCAAATTAGATTTCACCTCCTTCAATCATCTATTTGTCTTTACAGGTATTCCATTCTTCATTTACCTGGTGCAATCGCAGGGTGCCTATTTTCCGAACGTAGTCAACGTTGGGATCGTCATCAACAGTAAATTTATAAAATTCTGGCATCCTTGTCAAGGGTGTACCCCTACCTGTAACCACCTACCTACCGTACATTACCCTACATAAATCCCTGTTTTTCAAAGTGAATGACCTAGGGTCGACACACACACCAAATTGTAGGTATGCATTAATGAGTAAATCATTTCTACATATTTTTTTCATGAAAAATTTTGAGTGTAAAAGTTGGAATTTTTTATGTATATAGAAATGATTTACCCATCAATACCTACAATTTGGTATATGAGTCGACCCTAGATCATTCACTTAGAAAAACAGAGATTTAGGGTACAATACGGTAGGTAGGGAATTACAGGTATGTACCGGTACACCCCTGATCCTTGCTCCAAGTTTCAACTTGTCGCATGTACACATTCCACTCAGCTCCTGACGTTATAATCCCGGTGTGGAACAACTTCATCAAACCTGCTGCACCTCCAGAGATTCAGAAGCTGGTGGACGTTTACGGAAGGAAGAAGAGCCTCTGGCGTGAAGCTTTGTTGACAAAGTATGGCATCGATTTCGTTAAAATGAGCCACGAAATGGGCGGCGATGGACCTGACCCCGTCGATTCCAACGATCTTAGAAAGAGTGGATATTTGTACGCGTGTCCGGAATTAAAATAAATTTAATGTGCGTATTTATTCGACACTAGCGTATAATCCGTTCAACCTCATTTGATTTTCATTAAAATTGAGCGGAATTTTGCGCAGTTTCACCCGATTTGTGGAAAATAAATCAATATTATACGCTGAAACTCTGTGTCACCGACGGAAGTCGACAGAATGCTACAAGTGACAATTTGCAGGACCTCCGCAGGGGGCGAGTTTCGCAAAAATCTAAAGTTATTTATTTTAAATTGCATACTGTGAAGCGTCCTGAAGACATATGCACTGCGCACTGGTTTCTATCTGGTTACAACCAAACCTGATCAATTTCTTGTCTTCATTTCGAAATTCAATTTAAATTACTCACTCATTCTTCATTATTCAATGAATAATTCATTCATTCACTCATTCGCCACAGGTATTTTATATAGGGGAAAAATGAATGAATAAAGAATACTCATTCATTTAGAAATGTTGACTTATTCATTCATTCTTCATTCATTAAATTAATTATTCACTCATTCATTCATTCATTGCGGTATAATTGAATGAATGTCAACAGGTATGGTTACAATCGGATCGGTATATATTGGATTATCACAACATTACTAAACAGCAATGCTCGTTGTTACCATGCATGCCTATAGACATGAGGGTATAAACTCCGGTAAGAAATGATTTAATACTTGTTGCATAAGAGGACAAATGTACGTGTTAAACGTGTAAGGGTTGTTGTTTTAGGTGAGAAGCTCACTGATACTTACATCGCAACTACGATCCTAAAATTCTCACGGTGCATCGTATAAAAATTTATTATGCAGTGAAGTAAAGCACTCTTAAAAATAAGGTTAGCCTTTTGAAAAGGAAACCTACTCTGAATTAGACTTCCAGCAAGGTATACTAACAATGGAACCTTTTTTCAAGCTAGGGAGGGTCCATAAATCACGTGATCGATTTTTGGACAATTTTGACCCCCTCCCCCTTTGTAAATATACAAAAGTTAAAAAACCTTTACTCATGTCACGTGACATCTTACTATCTACCCCCCCCCCCCCCGGTGATAATTGGTAATTGGTGACAAATTTCAAACCCCCTCCCCACCTAATCGATCACGTGATTTATGGACGCTCCCCTAGAACAGGATTGAGAAACGAGTTAGATCAAGAAATCGACCGAGAAACTATGAATCACATGGCGCTTATCATTCCGTTGAATGGACTCTTTGAAGATAAATATTAAGAATCAAAGTATCCACGAGCGCACTGGTTTTTGGCCTCGTGGAGGTCGAGGGAGAGAAAATTGATTAAAAAGTTGAAAATTGACCGCCAATATTTTTCTTCAAAGGGGCCATTCAACGGAATAATAAGCGTAATATGATTCCTAATTTTTTGCTTAATTTTTTGATGTAACTCGTTAATCAATTCCGGTGTAACTTGAGAAGAGGTTCCATTGTTAGTCCAGATTAAAGTTAACTTAACACAGAGTAAGGTTTACTCTTAATTTAGTCCAGTTTGCTTAATGCAAAATTGAGACTGCATTTTCTTTTGGAAAGGGTAATATTATTTTTCTTAGGTGGCAAATACCTAACAACTAAAAAATTTACTAAATATGCATTTACCCCACCCCAAAAAAGTGGAATAATTTTATTTCTCGGCCATTTCTGAACCGATTTCGATAAAATTTGGGGCCAGATCGTTATTACAGAATTTAGAAACGATGTGCAAGCCGACTTAGCGAATTTTTGATTTTTACCCGGGTTATGTCCCAATATGTGCAAAAATTTTCAGATTTTCAAAAGATTTCCCCTTTTTTTGGGACCTTGCTTATTAAGAGTGTGGTGAACCGTGTTCAGACCAGTAGTGCAAGTGAGCAGGCAGATGATGTCCTAAATAAATTTGTGGAGACGAAACAACTATTCAGATTAGACGTGTTGTTCAGAAAGAGTGGAAACTTTGTGCAGACTGGATTAAATATTATTTGCTCGGATAAAAATCAAGTGATTAAAATGTTGCTACGTGTGCTGCTTGTGTTCTACCTGCTCAATGAAGCAATTCCTGCCCAGGGAAGAAACGAAGACTTGGTAATAAGTTGGGAGCAAAAAATAAAATTGGACGAGGTATGTAAGAAAAGTGCGAAAATTTGTAAAATTAGTTGATTCTACAAATGTGGTTACACTCTAAGAAACCCGGTAACAAAGTTATTACCAGGCGGAGTATCTATGTGTGACTCTACCGCATGGTAATTAATTTATTATTGAGTGGTAGATATTTTGTTACCGAACCGGTAATAACCCCGATCGCGAAATTTGAAAATATTGCCAGTTGGTAACTAATTTTCTATCACTCAATAATAAATTAATTACCATGCGGTAGAGTCACATAGATACTCCGCCTGGTAATAACTTTGTTGCCGGGTTTCTTAGAGTGTATTGAATTTAGTAAGGTTCATTTTCATGTTACGCTGGGTTATCTGTTTGAGTCTCTGACCGTTAAAAATTTAGTATCTCATTGGATGTGCATTTGTATTCTCAGTTTATGTATGTATCAATGGTCACTCTAAAATTGTTCTCTCAGCAGTTTCAATAGAGAGTGGAATTGAGGGGATGCATCTTTTGATTTGTTAATTGAAATTAATAACTTGAAATAAAATAAGTCTAACAATGCAAATCTTTTACGTGTACAACTCAGATCTGATTGGGACCAATTTTATTTTGTTCACCACAAAAAATAAGCGTACCCATATTTTTTCATTTGTCCTAATGCGCTAATTTGAGCGCGTGGCGCGAATTTTAAAACATTTTTCAGCCAAAACCTCAATTTTTAAAAAAATCTGTAAATTTTCGAATTTTGGCGCGAATCCAAAAATTCAAAAACATGTCTCTTCAGAATGACATATTTGATTTATTAAAAATCCACATGCATTATTTTTTGAGAAATTAAAAATTTGAAAGAGTGTATAATTTTAATGAATTTCAGAAACTGGCAAAAAATTTTGAAATTCAAATTTCGAGACAATTGGATTTTTCATAAGTCAGGTAAGTCATTCTGAAGAGACATGTTTTCGAATTTTTGGATTCGCACTAAAATTCGAAAAGTTACAGATTTTTAAAAAATTGAGGTTTTGGATGAAAAATGTTTTAAAATTGGCGGCACGCGCTCAAATTAGCGCATTATGAAAAATGAAGAAATGCGGGTATGCTTATTTTTTGTAGTGAACAAAATAAAATTGGTCCCAACCAGATCTGAGTGGTACACGTAAAAGACGACTTGCATTGTAAGACCCCATAATCAGTAATCTCCAGTCAACTACTCTTTACGATTATTCGATTTTCACATTGAGGATAATTGCGGCACAAATTGTTTTCAGTTTAGGACAATCATGGAACCCCACCTGCCCTACGACTACATGAATATGGACATTTATCTTCTCCGTTGGCTGCAAGGTTTGTTAACACAATTTGCTAACAGACGTGCATTTTCATTAAGTTCTACATAAATGTGACCCTCATTATTTTGAAAACAGTTCGAAGCTTTGATATTCCCGCTGCCGCACGAATGTTGCAAGAGGTAGATATGTAGCTGTCAAACTGTATGTACATATGAACATATGTAGTGAATCATATTCCTGTAGAATCTCCGGTGGCGGGAAGAGAACGAGATGGACACCGTTTTGGAAGAAGATTGGACCCAGTTTAACAACCAGTATCGTTTCAACCTGGATGGTTGCGATGACAACGGGGCTCCTGGTATGTTTATAATTTATTTTTTGCAGAATGCAGAATAATTATTTAGCTGTAATCACTATAAAATTTTGCCATATTGTTGTGTGACTGTGTGTCCTGGGGGGAGTTCACGTCATAGCTCGCAATGGTCCATGGTGCATGTGGAAGATGGTCCATCGATGGACCATGGACCAATTTTTTGCGAGCTATATTTAGTTCACATCATTTAAAAAAACAAATTGGCCAAACAAATTAACAAACAATTTTGGCTTGAAAATTCATTTGTATTCGAACTTGTTTATATCTTGTTTTTGATGTGCAAAGTCTACATATTAAGTTAACATGCGCATAAATATTTCGCTCAGTAATGATTTAATACCAGTTTTCTAACAAGAGAGTCAATCTTTACATTTCAAACTAACTGAAACAGCACTCCTGAATTTTGCAGTTGCCGTGCTTTTCGTGGGCGAATGGGACATGCGACGAGCCGTCTTGGCCGGACAGTCGGACAAAATGCGCCGCTTTATGGACAAATGTTTCGAAGAAGTGACCACAGTTTTGAGAAATATGCAAGCACGTGGGTCCAACGCCACGAGAGTATACATCATTTTCGATTTAGCCTGGGTCAGTTTCCAAGTACAAGTTGGTTCTCGGTGTAAGTAAAGAATAATATTTCTCCATTAGTTACGAAACTTTTGCCAATTTTGAGAATTTTCTCATCAATTTTGGTCTTACAATGGAGGCGCACACCATGTTCAGCCCAGATAATTTTTTGACCTTATTAGTTTCAAAGAGCAAGTCTTTATAAACAACGTTTGGTTCGGCACTTGGGCAGATGCGCAAATTTCAGGACGTTATGGGCGCCGCAAATTCGCAAAAACGCACGATTTTTCGGGCAATTCCCAGCCCGAGCTCAAATTCGTGCGTTTTTGCGAACTCGCGGCGCCCATAACGTGCTGAAATTTGCGCATCTGCCCAAGTGCCGAACCAAACGTTGTTTATAAAGACTTGCTCTTTGAAACTAATAAGGTCAAAAAATTATCTGGGCTGAACATGGTTTGCGCCTCCATTGTTAGAGTTGAATAACGAACTCAAATATCAATCCAAAATTCTCTTAGAAATTGAGATTTCTGGAATTTTCTCTGTGCAAGAAATTTCATCATTCTGAAAATTCTGATGAGTGGATTGTGTTCTTCGTAAATTAGTTTTCCGATTCTTTTCAATAATCAATTCGTCACTTTACAGGTCTGCCGTTGTACATTTACATGGTGCAGTCGCAAGCTGCCCACTACCCCTTGGTGGCGAATGTTGGTGTCGTCATAAACAGTAAAATCACGAAATTCTGACATCCTTGATCTAACAATGCGATGGATTGTAGTGTAACCCTCCGAAATTTTGAAATTATGTGGTCCAGGTCAACGTTTCTTGAGGCAGTTTTGATGGTCAGTATTGGCCAAAATATTTTAGGGCAAAGTTGAAAAATATGTGATTTTTAGCACGGGAAGAGAATAGAAGTTGCCCTCAAATAGTTTAGCAAATTCTGACCATCGCATAAACTGCCTGAAGAAGCGTTGGTTGTATTGACTTAGACCACATATCGTCGTACTAATTTTAAAAAGACCGTAGTGCAGTCGATGATTAATTTTAAAAAGACCGAACTACAGAAAAAAAATTCTAAAAAGACCTAAGTGCAAGCATGTATTTACTTATTGCTATATCTTGCCAAATCGATTCTTCATATATCGCGCGATTTAGCCATAAGTAAATGCATACTCGCACTTAGGTCTTTTTAGAATTTTTTTTCTTCAGTTCGGTCTTTTAAAAACTGACTTTCGACTGCACTTCGGTCTTTCTAGAATTAGTACGACGATATGTATGTAATTTCAAAATTTCAACCAAATCGGAGGGTTACACTTCACACCATCGCCTTGTTAGTAGAGGAGTTCTAACTTTTCCTATGTATTCCATTCAGCACCTGACATTATAATCCCGGTGTGGAATAACGTCATCAAACCTGCAGCACCTCCAGAGGTTCGGAAGCTGGTGGAAGTTTACGGCAGGAAGAAGAGTTTATGGCGGGAAGCTTTGTTGACCAAGTATGGCATCGATTTCACTAAACTGAGTCACGAAATGGGCGGCGACGGACCTGACCCCGTTGATTCGAACGATCTCAGAAAGAGTGGATATTTGTACGAGTGCCCTGAATTAAAATAAAATAAATCTATTAACTAATTTTTTCAGAGTTGGCCTGGAACGTTTTTAAAATTTCATTTTTCAAATTTGGCATCCTCTAACTATGAAATTTAGAGGTAGATTACCGTTCTGTGACATCCTCCCGAATTTGTTGGATTGCCACATATTTTAAAATTACGTGAAGCGACGTTTTAGCTGGACAACAATCTCCAGGAATTGGGCAGTACACCTGACCCTTACCAGCTTTACCCTGGACAACCATACGTACCAAACAAACTAGAACACATATTTGTGGATAAGCTGAAGTATAAAATACAATTTGCCGTGAATCGGGTGCACATTGAAATAAGCATTTCGGAATCCATACATACGGCGATTGTTCATGTATTACGTGCAATGGAGTCCGTCGTTTTTCGTACTCTCGATACTCATAGTGTGAAACAGGCCAAAAAGATTACGTATTTTTGAGACATTTATCCCTCATTACGTATTTTGAACGACATCCTAAACGTTCGGTCCCAAGGTAAACGGCCCCAAGATAAAAACCCAGCCTAACACCAGCGCAAAAAAAATAAAATAACCATCACCGTGTAATTGGCAATGAATATCCCACGGTTCGTGTAGGCAAAACTTCTTACGGAATTATTAGCTATGTAGATAGACAAAATATGGACATCTGAAATCTGGAATATTCAGGCATTAACTTACTTTATAAAAAAATTAATGTCTTTATTGATCATAGTATAGGTTGTATTCTCGAGTTATTCAATAAGAAATGAAATTGTGCGTAAAAGGTATCACAAAATATATCGCAAAGGCTGACTACGCAGGAATCGTACAAAAATCCCTAACTTATAAAAATTCTTTACCTCTACATATTGCATATATGGTATTTACTTATTTGTCTCTAGGTACACACTAGTGATGCTACGAGTTGGTATTAAAATAATTATGCCGATCAGTAAAAAATTTCCTACACAGGTGGGAATTAAAACTTTAAATAACGACCTGCATACATATTCCTGCGCGGTATTAAATATTTATTAATATGTACCAGTTTGATAGAGACATATCGTCGGACTAATTCTAAAACCACGTAAGTGCACTCGTTGTTTAATTCTAAAACCACGTAAGTGCACTCGCTTCGTAATTCTAAAAACACCTAAGTGCAGTCAATATTTAATTCTAAAACCACGTAAGTGCACAACAAAACACAAGGAAAACAACCTACCTGCAGTTCCAAAATAATATGCAGTTAATTTTCATGTTTAAGTTTACAGTATGATCTTGCATAAATAATTAACTGCATATTATTTTTGAATTACAGGTAGGTTATTTTCCTTATTTTTTGTTGTGCACTTAGGTGGTTTTAGAATTAAACATTGACTGCACTTAGGTGGTTTTAGAATTACGAAGCGAGTGCACTTACGTGGTTTTAGAATTAGTCCGACGATATGTAAATGAATAAGGATTTATATTATTTTAATACCGGTTTTCTAAGAGTCTTCACGTATTTACAACAGATGTAAAGGAGTAGCGGAAACATGAAACATTACTGGAATCTGCCATGATGTGTGTATTAAAATTTGAACCAACTTTGTACGCGTTCCATACAATGAATGGAATCCATGCAATTATAAAACTCGATCATACTTTAAATATTCTGTGTTAATTTACGCATATACATAATCAATAATCATGGAGGAAGGCACATTCCAGAATTATGGGGAAAATGTTGGTGTGAAAATGCAGTTTTATATATTTCCTCGTATTTTTATACATACGTTATATTTAGATAGATATGTATTTCGCAGTAGAGCAGGAAGATCCCACAAGAAAAAAGCACCATGAACCGTGAATGCAGTCGGAAAGTTGATGAGGAGTAGATTAAGAAAGTATTCACTCTCAAAGTTTATGCATAGGATTAACATCAATGGACAAAAACTGGCAAAAATTCCCACGGTGCCTACATACTCGACTAGTTAATTAATTATGCTGGTTATTACATAAATACAAATACTACGAAACTGCACGTGGCAGGTACATATTCCTTCTTTTGATGAACCGGTTTCAGCACGTAAGCAAAAAGATGACATCAGTGACTACTCGTAAAACTTAATGAGAGAGATGTAATATAAAACTTTTGTTCAGAAAGAGGGGAAGCTTTGAGCAGACTGGATTGAACTCGCTCGGGTAAAAAAGCAAGTAATTAAAATGTTATTACACGTGCTGCTTGTGTTTTTCCTACTCAATGAAATTCCAGTCCAGGGAATAAACGAAGACTTGGTAATAAGTTGGGAACAGAAAATAAAGTTGGACGAGGTAAGTAAGAAAAGTGCAAAAATTTATAAAGTTAACTGAATTTAAGCGATTCCGGAATTTTTATAATTCGGATGACAATTAGGCGACATGAAAATTCATAAATCTGTAATTATACAGGGTGGTTTAAGTGCCACGCAACAATGGAGAATTTTTCAATGGGAAAAGTCCCTAAATCTCCATTATTTACAAGATTTGGGATTGAAATTTTTATAAATTATTCAGAACTGATGACAAATTCTTAAAATGTTGCATTTTTTAGAGACAAAATTTCGGTAACTAGTGGAAATTTATGGATTTTTCTCATCGAAAAATTATCCATTGTAGCGTGACATTTTAACCACCCTGTATAATTAGCAAAGAATAAAAAAAATAAAAATTACCTCATGGTCTTAATACTTGGATTACGCGGAGTTTTAGTAAAAAAAAATGAGAACTTTATACGTCAACATTTCTAAGGGAATTTGATATTTATTATTCAGACACGTGTATATAAAAAGGAAAAATTTGTCATTTTTTTAAAAATTTTCATATTTGCATGAATGGGTATCATATGTATGTATTTAACTGTTTGACAAATTTTTTTCAGTTTAGAACAATTGTGGAAGCCCAGCTACCCCATGAGTATATGAAGACGGACATTTATCTTATCCGGTGGCTGAAAGGTAAGCAATTCATTTTTTCACGCTTTTTTTTGACGATTTAATAAATCGTAAAAAGTAATACACATGTATTCTTCTTAATTCAGCCTGTAACTATGACATTCCGGCCGCTGCCCGTATGCTGCGAGAGGTAATTTTGCCGTATAACAAATAAAACCTCGTAGTAGTAAACCGGTTTCCATCTACTTTTCAGCAAATCTTAACAGTATGAAAAAATTCTGAAGGGTTTCCTGGCATATATTTTATAATAGAGATTTCTAAAAAAAACAAATAACTTATCAGACAATTTTTCTAGGAATTGAGACACCACAAATATTAACTCGACAATAGTTGCTGCAATTCGCACCCAATTCAAAAATATTACCAACGCCACAGCTTTTAATTACTAAAGTGATATTCGTATCAATCAAATTAAGTAATAATTCGTATTATTTTATTAGTTTGACCGTAGGGAACGTCCGTATACGTCGTCACTCAAATTACAATTTTTAATCATAATAAGTACGTATCTGGAAGTTCTTTTATTAAGTTAGCACCGAGTTTTTGAAAGGAAATACAAGCGCATTAGGCTCATTCCATTGGTAAGCAACACGTTTGATCGAGTCCCAGGAAATAGAGGTGCTAAACCCTGCTCGCTGGTGGTGGTTGCCTGGCCATGTATTTTTCTCTCTTTTGCAAGAGAACACTACACAACTCACACTTTGTCAATGTTCCGGGCCACGTAGGAACACAGAATTATTTACTACTGTCTACACAAGCAGCCCATGTTAATTTTACCTTTTCGAAAAATTGCCAAAACTCCAAGACGGACAAAAATCGCGTGGGGTTTTCAACTTTTTTGTTTCCTCAGGCCCAAAGGCATCGATTGGCTTATCTCTCAATGAGCGATTCCTGTCCGTCTTCTCGATAAACGAGTTTTTAAATGCATTTCAAATTTCAGATTTTTTTGAATTTTTGAATTTTTTAAAATTTTTCATAGCAAAGAATGATCAATGAATGAAATCTGTAAATGTAACCTACCCCTTTGAACCAACACTTTCGTGACCAAAGCATGTTCAATGCATTTACAAATTTTTTTAACTGCTGTATCTTTGCGAAAAAAATTAATTTTCAAATTTTGATTTTTATGATATGTTTTATTTTATATTATGCATCTATGATATGATTGTGGACAAGATACCAAATATGGGTGCGACGACGATCGTGTGGGTTCAGATGGAATGAGCCATTATTTAAAACAGATGGAAAGGTTTATATCACGAAGTTTTAATAAGACAGAAGTGTTTAGTTAATAACTTATGCAATAATGTATTTACATACATCGAAAATAATTCTCGAAACGTTTAGAATCTCCGTTGGCGTGAAGAAAACGAAATGGATACCATATTGGACGAAGATTGGACCGAGTTTAACAGCCAATATCGTTTCAACCTGGATGGTTGCGATGATAACGGAGCTCCAGGTACAAACCTTGAAAACCATGGTTTGTATTTTACAATTAGACTCTTTCTTGTCCGCATTTCTTATGGAGGAAAGAGAGCAATTACAAAGTTTAAACCATAGCGGTTTCAGTAAAGTTTGACATTTTCGAATAACTCGTGAATTTTGTAGTTGCCGTGCTTTTCGTGGGCGAATGGGACATGCGTCGAGCCGCGTTGGCCGGACAATCGGACAAAATGCGACGCTTCATTGACAAGTGTTTCGAAGAGGTTACCACCGTTTTAAGAAATATGCAAGCACATGGGTCTAACGCGACGAGGCCAAACCTCATTTTGGACGTGGCCTCGCTGAGCGTTCAAGTGCAAGCTTGTCCCCGGTGTAAGTACAAATTACTTTTTTAAGTTGTTAATGAATTCAGATCCTGCGCTAATAATTACTTTATTCATTTAACTGATATTTAACAAACAAACAAACACAATACTTTTAGATACAATTTTTACCGCAGAAATTATTTAATAAGCCATCGTTTCACTTTGGTTATAATTTATTGCTAAAAGGTAGCATGTTATTCGACCTAAACGATTTTCAAGAGTGCAGTGTAGGACCTACAAATTTGTCGCAAAGAAAATGTATTCACTGTAGCGAATTGACGGCGCAAGTGTAATTGGTAAATGTTATTGGTAAAAGATTTAGAATATGTATAGGATAAAATGGGTTAAGGGTTTTCTTTCAGACTGCAAATAGGGACAATTTTGCACCGCATTGTTTAGCTTATTTCTAAATGCAAAATGTAAGACGATACACCCTATAAATAAAATTTACCCTAATGATTAAAAAAATATTTAAATAGAAGGAATAAATAGAATTAAAAAAATACTCTTTATCCATGAAACTTTGAGCCGTGGCTTAATACTGAGCAATGTTAAAAACGGGGGTTCCTAATGGAGCTAGATTTAGCCATAGCTCAAAGCTGCATGGATGAAGAGTACTTATAAAGAACCAATAATGCAATTATAACTTTGCAGGTATCCCTTTCTACATTTACCTCGTGCAAACGCTGGGTGCCCACTTTCCAAATATATTCAACGTTGTAATCGCCATAAACAGTAAAACTGCAAAAACTTGTTCCCAACAGAAAAGTTTTTCTAACTTTTTATGTATGTATATTTAATTCAGCTCCTGACATTATAATCCCACTCTGGAACAACGTCATCAAACCTGCGGCACCTCCAGAAGTTAAGAAGCTGGTGGACGTCTATGGGAGGAAGAAGAGCGTCTGGCGGGAAGCTTTGCTGACCAAGTATGGCATCGATTGGACTAAAATGAGCCACGAAATGGGTGGCGTCGGACGGGACCCTGTTGATTCGAACGATCTCATAAAAAGAGGATATTTGTACGAGTGCCCATAAATTATATGAAGAAATTTCACCCAATAGTGTATATTTTTATCTAAAACATAAGGGAGATTGCGAATTTCCGGTGTTTTTCATTCATTTCTAGTTTTTTTGGTAATGATCAATTTAGTGTTCGTGTGAAACTTAGACTTTAATTGCGACTGTTCCCTAGTGTTCATCGCGATCTGGATACGTTGGACTAAAAATGTTATATTTACGAATAGCGACAGAAAATAAAATGATAAATGCAACCTGGCCAAATTGTAGAACCGGTTGAGGTTGTGCAGAAAGTATGTGGTCGGTTAGAGTGGGGGTAGGGCATCCTATCCTTCGTTTGTTAATTATAATATGAGGCATACAGGTCGCACTGGCGGGTAGGGGTCAAAATTTTGCGACAATCGATCACGTGATTTATGTACGGCCCCATGTATATATATACGTCGCCATTTCTCTCTGAAAAAACACTACCACAAATTCACACGGTGACTCGGCTGATCAGTTTAATTAAATGCGGCGAGGTAGTGAGTGGGTTATCAAACTACTTGTTCAGACCGGTTTGTGCTGACGGATGGTGCGTATGAATATACAGGGTAGTTCAAACGTCAATTTACAATGGAAAATTTTTCAATCGGAAAAATTCGTAAATTTCCATGAGTTACGGATTTGGAATTGAGATTTTTATTAATTTTTATCAAAACTTATGGAACACTGGTGGCAAAATTCTTAAAATATGGAATTTCAGGGGCAAACTTTCGGTAACTATTGGAGATTTGCGAATATTTCCATTTGAATAATTTTCCATTGTAACCTGACATTTAAACCACCCTGTATATCAGGGACCCGTATAATTTAATTGGATAAAATGCATGCTTAATAGACTTTTTTTAGAAGGAATGCAAATATATGGAAGGCTGGATTAAATAAGAATCACGTATTCGCATTGTGTAAATAGGTAGTAAAAAAATGCTATTTAATGTTAATAGTATGGAGGACAAGTCCCAGTCGTGGAAGAGTTGCCCATCAGCATAACAATATTTCAGGAAAAGAACGTCTTGATTGCTTCTCTTGCCCAGTCTTCGTTTGGGTTTAGAGTGGTGGCCATCTAATAAGTCTGAACCTTTTCCTTTTTCAGATAAAAGTTTTTATACGCATTGCACTTATTTATTTCCATAAATACAGCATAAAGGAAGTCTGTTGCAGTCAGATATTTAAAATGCTAACAACTAATGTGTTATCACGTGTGTTGTTTGTGGTCTTCCTACTCCACGAAATTCCTGCCGAAGGAATAAACGAAGACTTGGTAATAACTTGGGAACAGAAAGTAAAGCTAGATGAGAAAATTTGTTAAATTTGTAAAATATTTGTAAAAAATACTTATTTAAATATTGAAAAGAAACGTAAAATGTCGGATAATATTTAATGAGATAAGCAATAATTTAGAAATATATAATTATTATCAAATTGAGTACAAGTTTTCGAAAGTAAGTCAAAAGGAGGTCAGATGTTTTAATGATGTAAAAAATTTCCTACTAAATAGTAAATTAATGGAGATCCTCTTTGGCCTCCAACCGTGCACGACGTGTCTCTCTCTCGCTCTGCAACTGGATTCTCTCTCTCCCATCTGGGTCGCGGGCGTGTGCCAGGGCAAGTCAAGTGTGTCCCAGGCTTTTCGCCCTGTGAGCCTCGTCCACTCACACCCCCCACCTGCGTGCCTGGTGACACCCCCTGCCACACCCGTCCCAGCAACGACTAGCTGAGCCATCAGGCGAAGACGGATCTCGCCGGACTCTGTGCACGGGAGGATCTACGCCAGGAGGACTCCCCCAGGTAGGTCATTGTTTGGTATATCGGGGTAGTGACCGTGGAGGGTGGTTGGTAGAAGAGTGAGGACGGGGTCGTGCATGGCGGTGGGCAGCGTAGTCGGGCCTACGGGGGTCCCATGACCCGGTTGAGCTGTGAGGGGTGAAGGGGCTAGTGGGTAGTGTCACTCGTCCCTGGTCACACTGTGTGACCGTGAAGGGGACACGTTGCCCGTGTCCGAGAGGGTGCTAAGGTAGTTCGTGGTCCGTGGACGCCCCGCCCAACAACCTTCACTCATCATGCTTCCGCCTTCGCGACGCCGTCCTCATTTGGATATCACCATCATCTCTCGGGATCTGCCTATGATCCCTATCACTCATTTGTCCTATCTGGTGTCCAGGTAGTCAGAGCCCAATGGACCTCTGGGCCACATTCCCAGAGGTGATAGTGGTTTTCCTGGCTCTACACCATAGCCAGGTTTTCCCACTATTCCTCTGACTACTTTATTTTACTCTATTTACATTTACATACCTAACTCTGTAATCTCTATATTGATGAGGGCTCATGGCCATATCAAATGCTAATAAATTGAATATGAATGAATAGTAAATTAATGAAGAGTCTGTAAATTATCATAAATACAACTTATTCTCAGTTTAGGGCATACATGGAACCCCACCTGCACCATGAGTACATGAAGACAGACATTTATCTTCTCCGCTGGTTGAGAGGTAAATTCACAATTTACCCAGATACTGGAAAACGTTTAAGAAAATGTCACATTATTTTAAATCAGTCCGAAATTTTGACATTCCTGCTGCAACTCGCATGTTGAGAGAGATATGTAAAAAGTAGTCACAAATACGGATAATGACTTGCGTGTTTAGCAATGAGGATTATGTTCCCTTGACACCGGTTAGAATCTCCGGTGGCGGGAAGAAAACGACATGGACGTTTTATTGGAGGACTAGTCTCTTAAGCCCGCAATGCGGGCTCTAAGCAAAACAATTTTATTTAGTTTAGCGATACAAATTCCTGCTGAATAATTGTTACACATTTATCTTCACCCAGAGCAAAGAAGCGTTGACTTGATTGTCACGTCTTATAGCACGATCTTTAATAATAGAGTTCACAACTCTATTGGTGTGACAACGAAAAACGTGCTGTCAGGACTCTAAACGGTGTGACCACGAAAAACGTTCAGTCACAACTCTAAACGGTCTGACCACGAAAAACGTTCAGTCACGACTCTAAAGGGTGTGACCACAGAAAAACGTTCAGTCACGACTCTGAAGGGTGTGACCACGAAAAACGTTCAGTCACAACTCTAAACGGTCTGACCACGAAAAACGTTCAGTCACGACTCTAAAGGGTGTGACCACAGAAAAACGTTCAGTCACGACTCTGAAGGGTGTGACCACGAAAAACGTTAGGTCACAACTCTATGGGTGTGACCACGAAAAACGTTAGGTCACAACTCTATGGGTGTGACCACCAAATTTGTTCAGTTACTACTCCGAAGTGTGTGACAACAAAAAACGTTCGGTCACGACTCTAAAGGGTGTGACCACGAAAATCGTTCTGTCGCGACTCTAAAGGGGGTGAACACGAATAACGTTAGGTCACGACTCTAAAGAGGTTGACCACGAAAAACGTTCAGTCACAACTCTAAACGGTCTGACCACGAAAAACGTTCAGTCACGACTCTAAACGGTGTGACCACGAAAAACGTTCAGTCACAACTCTAAAAACGTGTGACCACGAAAAACGTTCAGTCACAACTCTAAAGGGTGTGACCACGAAAATCGTTCTGTCGCGACTCTAAAGGGGGTGACCACCAATAACGTTAGGTCACGACTCTAAAGAGGTTGACCACGAAAAACGTTCAGTCGCAACTCTAAACGGTCTGACCACGAAAAACGTTCAGCCACGACTCTAAAGGGTGTGACCACGAAAAACGTTCAGTCACAACTCTAAAGGGTGTGACCACGAAAAACATTCTGTCGCGACTCTAAAGGGTGTGACCACGAAAAACGTTAAGTCACGACTATAATTGGGTGTGACCACGAAAAAACGTTCAGTCACGACTCTAAAGGGTGTGACCACGGAAAAACGTTCAGTCACGACTCTAAAGGGTGTGACCACGAAAAACGTTAAGTCACGACTCTAAAGAGGGTGACCACGAAAAACGTTAGGTCACAACTCTATGGGTGTGACCACCAAATTTGTTCAGTTACTACTCCGAAGTGTGTGACCACGAAAAACGTTCAGTCACGACTCTAAACGGTGTGACCACGAAAAACGTTCAGTCACAACTCTAAACGGTCTGACCACGAAAAACGTTCAGCCATGACTCTAAAGGGTGTGACCACGAAAAACGTTCAGTCACAACTCTAAAGGGTGTGACCAAGAAAAACGTTCTGTCGCGACTCTAAAGGGGGTGACCACGAAAAACGCTCAGTCACAACTCTAAACGGTCTGACCACGAAAAACGTTCAGCCACGACTCTAAAGGGTGTGACCACGAAAAACGTTCAGTCACAACTCTAAAGGGTGTGACCACGAAAAACATTCTGTCGCGACTCTAAAGGGGGTGACAACGAAAAACGTTCAGTCACGACTCTATAGGTGTGGCCAGGAAAAACCTTCGGTCACGACTCTAAAGGGTGTGACCACGAAAAACGTTCAGCCACGATTCTAAACGTTGTGACCACGAAAAACGTTCAGTCGCAACTCTAAAGGGTGTGACCACGAAAAACGTTTTCTCGCGACTCTATAGGGGGTGACCACGAAAAACGTTAGGTCACAACTCTATGGGTGTGACCACCAAATTTGTTCAGTTACTACTCCGAAGTGTGTGACCACGAAAAACGTTCAGTCACAACTCTAAACGGTCTGACCACGGAAAAACGTTCAGTCACGACTCTAAAGGGTGTGACCACGGAAAAACGTTCAGTCACGACTCTGAAGGGTGTGACCACAGAAAAACGTTCAGTCACGACTCTAAAGGGTGTGACCACGGAAAAATGTTCAGTCACAACTCTAAAGGGTGTGACCACGAAAAACGTTAGGTCACAACTCTATGGGTGTGACCACCAAATTTGTTCAGTTACTACTCCGAAGTGTGTGACCACGAAAAACGTTCAGTCACAACTCTAAACGGTCTGACCACGGAAAAACGTTCAGTCACGACTCTAAAGGGTGTGACCACGAAAAACGTTCAGTCACAACTCTAAAGGGTGTGACCACAAAAAACGTTCTGTCGCGACTCTAAAGGGTGTGACCACGAAAAACGTTAAGTCACGACTATAATTGGGTGTGACCACGAAAAAACGTTCAGTCACGACTCTAAAGGGTGTGACCACGGAAAAACGTTCAGTCACGACTCTAAAGTGTGTGACCACAGAAAAACGTTCAGTCACGACTCTAAAGGGTGTGTCTAGATCAAGAGGCGTAGTCAATTCCAAGGAGCGTTCAATTGTTCTAACGTTTTAAAAACGTTTAAGAACTTGAAGCGATACCCCGCCCTCTAGCGCTGGAAAACAACCCACATCCTGTAGGTGGCGCCGGGAGGTAAATTAAAGTTGTAAGTGTCAACCATTGCGTGGGTTCCCAGTGGTCACAGGTCATATGTAAACTCAGGGAGGTGTGCGCAGGTCACAGGTTAAGTGTAAACTCGGGGGAGTGTGCCGAGGTCACAGGTCATATGTCAAGGCTAGTGGGTGTGCCTAGGTCACAGATTAAATATCGAGTCTAGTGGGTGAGCCCAGGTCACAGGCCAAATCCAAAGTCTAGTGGGTGTGCCCAGGTAACAGGTCAAATTCAAAGTCTAGTGGGTGTGCCCAGGTAACAGGTCAAATCCAAAGTCTAGTAGGTGTGCCAAGGTCATAGGTCAAATGTCAAGTTACGTGGGGGTATCGAGGTCACAGGTCAAATGTCACGTTACGTGGGTGTGCCTAGGTCCCAGGTCAAATGTCAACTCTGGAGGGCGTGCCCGTTCATGTGATCAAGTCGGATCTAAATGCGTGTAGCGTTAGTCAACGATTTGGAAACGTTTGACACTTTAGCGAAAAACGCCCTCTAGAAACGAAAAATGTAACATAGTGACCCAACTGCCGCTAGGTGACATTAGCTTGGACAATGTGAGACACGTGTGTAATCAAGCGCCAAATTCAACTGGTAACACACACCACTGCACAATTCTTGGTTCTGAAGATTGGACCGAGTTTAACAACCAGTATCGTTTTAGCCTGGATGGTTGCGATGATGACGGGGCTCCAGGTAGGTTGGGAGATTGTTCTGATAACGCATGGATACTGACATCTCCTCGTGTCCTGAGTACCTACTACGTTTTTTAGACCCTACTACTGTTCATCCGAAAAAATGTGGCCTTCGCCCAGCCAATTTTCTCTAAAAGGTTACCTAGCAGCTATCATAATTTTATGGAATATCTTAATAACTTTTGGATTTTGACACTGAAATAAATTTCTGTAATTGATAAAACAATAAAAATAGACAAATTTCGCTAGGTAACCGTTTAGAGTTTCTAGGGTCACATTTATGTTGGACGAACACTATATACGACCCCACAGTGAAGGATCCATTCATATTTTTCTTATAAAACTCATATTCCACGCCGTAGCCTGGCCCCAGCGGGTTTATTTCTAAAACCCTTAGAAGTTTGACAAATGTAGGGGACAATTTTTCTGGAAAAAATGCAACACATTTTGTATTTTTTCCTGAAATACGTCTTTGACCAAATTAAATAAAATACATTCGTGAATATAAATACATGGCAGATAGCTAAATATAAAGTCTAAATTTCGCAGAAATTCGCCATTGCATGCACACCTTGCAAATTTATCTTGCGAAACTCTATCCTCATTGTAAGAAGTCGGAGCTAATTCAGAAGTAACTTTCTGGCGTTTTCGTAGTCACAGATACATACTCCTGATGGAGTTATGTAAGTAAACTTTGTTTGGCTACAAGTTACGCTAGCTTGATAAAGACTAAAGTTTACAGTAAAGTAAAGTAAAGTGAAGATTTAGTATGGTAACTTAATATCGAGTCATAAATAACGTTGTTGAACCTTTTGTGACCGTTTAATCTTTTCCTTTAATCGGTTAACCTAAGGTTGTATTTACCCTAAAGGATATTTTTAAGATGGCATGGTCACAAATATCTGAACACTTACGTACATTTTAAAGAAACTTCAGAAAAAGCTTTTTTGAATGTTCCAGTTTTCGTGCTGTTCGTGGGTGAGTGGGACATGCGTCGAGCCGCATTGGCCGGACAGTCGGACAAAATGCGACGCTTCATTGACAAATGTTTCGAAGAAGCTAGCACCGTTTTGAGAAATATGCCAAAGACTGGGTCGAACGCGACGAGGGTAACCCTTCTTTTGGATTCGTCCTCGCTCAGTTTCCAAGTACAAGCTTGTCCCCGATGTAAGTCTAAACCATTCGGTTAGGGAAGGTCTAAATGCCGATTTTTCTGCCCTTTCGTTCCCCTTGTAACAAAGGTTCACCACCCCGGGTTTTTGTGGGTTGGGGTTTTTGCGAGTTTTTGTGTGGTCTTATGGGGTTTTGAGGCAGATTGAAACAAAATCCCTTAAACTACAACTTAGATCCATGCTAATTAAATTTTCTGATTCATCATGAGGTTTTGAGAATTTTCTTGTGAGACTTGAATTTCCAAATATCGTTGCATATTTCCAGGTTTACATGTTAAACATGAATTTTCGATGTAACAGTCCAAGTCAATGATAACGGTTAAAATTGCATGCTGAATTCGTATATTAGATTAGTTTTTCTCTAATACATAATTTTACGAATTCTAGTTCTACCTGCCCCAAAATCTACAAAAACCCACAAAAACCCAAAAACCTACAAAAACCCCAAAAACCCCGGAAAAACCCAGGGGGTTGGGTTTTTCTACAAAAACCCCGGGGCTTTCCGAACCCTGGTTGTGGCGGGTAACACGTAGGGCTGTCAAATCCGTGATGAATTTTTAAATCTGGATTTCGGATTATTTGTTTTTGTGAGAACCCCAATCCGGATTATAATTATTTACTGTTATTGTTGATTTCCTTGAATTTGAGCGACTCAGATAAATGTCAGAGAGTCGCATTGTCCTATTTACTAGGGATACCTTTTCTATGATGGTTGAAAAATGAGTTCTAATTTAACTTTTCGTATGCACCATGATATGTTTTGATTACAAAGTGCAAAAATTTTTCTGCAAAACCAATTTGCTAATTTTTTAATAGCCTTCAAAGTTGGCGAATGTGGGGGTGGAATAGGCAGAGTGGGAGTGTGTGGAGATGGGGGCGGTCGTATCCCTCGCTATACACTACCACCACCTGTTACGGTCATTATGATCTGGTTATTTTTCGCGACACAATTCTATGTTTAATCTTAAAATTATGGACCCAAGTTGAACTAGCTTTGAAAGGCAAAGATAATTCTTTAGATTTTATAATTCCCCAGCGTTCTAAATCCACTTCACCAATGTGTATTAGAGATTCTCTTGCAAAATTAAATCTTTCGAACACAAAATCTTCTATATCTTATAACTTCTTCAGTTTGTTGCCATTCTGGTCGATGTACGTCTTCATCCGAGAAATTGTTGCATAAGCTGATATTTTAGGGAAACGTTGTCTAGTTTTAAACAATTTATTTGACTTAACACTGTCGTAAAACTTTAAATCTTTATCATTTCTTCGAGATTATAATTATTATGTTCGATACTTTTAACCTCCCATTCCTGCGATGACGATTCTTCGGAAATTGCGTGGGTTTGAGCTGCACTGTCACCGTAAATGTAGATTTCATCGTCACTGGAAATTTCCAATGCATCGAGCGTTTCACATGTACTGGTTGAAAAATTAAGTAAATTTTTGATTAAAATCAGTCCTTCACTTGCTAAGTCGTTAAGATTTAAGCCACTGTCAATTATCCAGCGGGTACTCCAGCGGTGTCATATTTTAGTTTTACTAATTCTAGTAACAATTCGCACACTTGTAAATCACAATTGTAACCAAGGCGGTTAAGTCATATATTGACACCGTTTTGTTTTGAGTGTAGTGATACAATAGACCTGAATAAATTCGATAATTTCATACGTATCAGCAGCAATCCGCTGATTTTTTCATTCTCTCGTGTGTAAAAGGCTGCCAGGATTTCACACGAATTAATTATGCGGAGAAGTCGTTGCTCACACAATTCCACGCGTCACGAACTCCTCGTTTAGACCGGTTTGAGTTGAAACATGATGTCAGTCGCTGGTAGGAAAAAAGGAAAATGAGATAAAAATGTAATGCACGTTGGTCTTTGTTCAGAAAGAGTCGACGCTGTGTGGAGACTGGATTAACTAGAATTTACTCCTTCTCGGATAAAAAAAACTAGTAATTTGCGATATAAATATGTTTCCACGTGTGCTGCTGGTGTTCTTCTTACTGAGCGAAATTTCTGCCCATGGAATAGATGAAGACTTGGTAATAACATGGGAACAAAAAGAGAAGTTGGATGAGGTAAGAAAATTCTGATGTTGTAAATATCTGCTGCAATGGTTTTTCAAAAATTAGAAAGGCACCAAAGTAAGAATTATAAAAATTTTGAAAATTCGGATCAAAATTGGCGTTTTAAAAATTTATGAAATAAAATTATGTCGGCTTATCTGCAAATAATAAATATGTAGATAAGTATGTATGCCTATTATAATTGTTTTCAGTTTAGGACAATTATGGAACCCCACCTGCCTCATGACTACATGAAGACAGACATTTATCTTATTCGCTGGCTTAAAGGTGACAAATCCACATTTACGTTTGAACTTTTCATCACGTGTAAAATTTAATGTGTGTCCATACGTGTTAAACTCAGCCCGAAACTATGAGATTCCCGCTGCTTCCCGTATGCTGCAAGAGGTATCAAATTTAGCGATTTACGTGCACAAATTCTAGTTAGAACCAGGGCTTAAAAAACTTTTTTTTTTGTTTTTCATTCATATGTAACGGGGTAATGTATTTATAGATGATTTTTTTTCTAAAAAAATAAAAGTTGGGAAATTGCATGTAATTTTTGAATGAGTTGGGTTGACAACTGTGTAAATGTTGAAAATTAAATATTTTCATGTGAAATATGTGTGACCCCCACTAGTAAACCGGTTAATGGTTCTTGTCAATCTTCGAATTTATGCCCGTCATCTTCACTTACCTATGAGAAAAGACGGAGTTTACGCGTCCCGAAGTGCATCCAAACTCGGGTTATAGGGTTACTATTATTATGAAAATGTAAAAATATATGTACATATTTATCACTCTACCGCCATGGTTATGAATTTGGCACCAACTGGTTGTAAATTTCTTAAATAGCTCTAGTGACAATGAAATACTACGTTGGTGAAATTTTTTATTTCGTCGGTGACAATTGTTGACAAAGTCATAACCACGGCGATAGAGTAACGTAAGTTTACTTTTTGGTTATAATGGTAACCCTATTTCTAAGAGTGCATGGATTAATAAATATGTATTCCCGTAGAATCTCTGGTGGCGGGAAGAGAACGAAATGGACGCTTTATTGGACGAAGATTGGACCGAGTTTAACAACCAGTACCGTTTCAACTTGGACGGTTGCGATGGTAACGGAGCCCCAGGTAGGTTTGAAGAAGTAACATTATTCAAATAAGTTCAGTATTGTGTGCAGTCCCCGAGTTTCGGGACGCAATCGGGTGAACATACGTCCCTGTTTTCAAAGTCCCGGCGTCCCGAAAATGTCCCGGTTTTGATAAAGTGTCCCGGTTTTTAAAATGGTAGGAAAAAGATTAAATTATCTCAGGTTTAACAGATTTCCGACCGATTTTGATAAAGTTCTAGGCTTCACCACTTCGCTACATTCGTTTAACGTAGGGCTGCCAAATCCGTTCCGAATTTTCAAATCCGGTTTGATAGATGTCGAATACTTCGTTATCATATTCAATCGAAATTTAAGCATTTTTGAAATTTTTATCATGGTTTAAAATTTGTTGATGTAGATAGTTTCCTGGTATATTTTTATGTTGACGTACTGAAAAAATTTGTTGATGTACTGAAATTTCAAAAGAGGTAAGTTTCCTGTCGAATATGGTGAAGTAACTACCTGGGATGAAAAACATGGACAATTTTTGTAAATTTACACTTTTCCCAACAATTTGTATCTTTATAGTGCACATGAAAATTAGTTTTTAAATTAATTAAATCCGGATTCAGTCCAAAATGAAATCCAGATTTCGGATAATTCGAAATTCGAAAAATCCAGATTTTTCGATTTAGAATATCCGGATTTGGCAGCCCTAGTTTAACGGTTGATTTCGAACTATTTTGCTTTGAGATTGCATAAGTTAATTGAAACCCATGCTTTCATTCGCTTCAACATCCATTGGAATTGTCCGTACGTTACGAAATCGTTTTCAACACGGGCGGATAGAAAATTATCCCTATTCTCCAATTGTTAAAAGTGATGACATAATATATGAACAAACCCCTTTGATTTTTGCAGTTTTCGTTCTTTTTGCGGGCGAATGGGACATGCGACGAGCCGCGTTGGCCGGACAGTCGGAAAAAATGCGACGCTACATCGACAAATGTTTCGAAGAAGCAAGCACCGTTTTGAGAAATATGCAAGCGCGCGGGTCCAACGCGACGAGGGCAAATCTCATTTTGGATTTGGGCTCGCTTAGTTTCCAAGTACAGGCTTGTCCCCGGTGTAAGTACAAGTTATTTACAAAGAACCTTTTTCAAGAAACACCCAGCGTTTGTTATGGTGGTAACATTAAAGGAGAATCTTGCCCGCTATAGGATTTGCATGTGAAGAAAGACTCATCTTTTAATGCTCACACCATAGTAAGTTGTCCCTACACTCTTAAAAACTAGGTGTTAGTCATCGCCGAACGGTGTGCATATGTGACTACATCGCATGGTGATAAATCTTGCCCTCATGGGGACAAATTATGCCTGCCAAGTGTTAATTTTGGCACCAAATAGTAAGAAAGATTATAATCACTTGGTGAAGTTGAAGTTAAACATGCACACCGTCCGGTGACAAATGACACGGGGTTTTTAAGCGTGTAAAACATCGAGGCAAAATTTAGGAGTTGAGTTAAAAGTGCAATTTCAATAATAGCATAATATTTTTTCTCGAAGGGGCCAAAGTAGGGTTTCAAAAGACCCGAATTTATATTATGGAAGTTCCTAAATTAACCGGTTTCTTTACAGGTATTCCTTTCTACCTTTACCTCGTGCAATCGTTGGGTGCCCACTTCCCCAATGTAATTAACGCATGTATCGTCATAAACAGTAAAATAAAATAAAATTCGTGTCGTCATTCGAAGTAGACAAGTTTTTCTAACTTTTCGCATGCATTTCCTTCAGCTCCGGAATTTGCGGTCCCGCTCTGGAACAACATGATCAAGCCTGTCGCACCCCCAGAGGTTCGGAAGCTGGTGGACGTTTACGGGAGGAAGAGGAGTGAATGGCGGGAAGCTTTGCTGACCAAGTATGGCATCGATTTCACTAAAATGAGTCACGAAATGGGTGGCGACGGACGGGACCCCGTTGATTCGAACGATCTCAGAAAGAGTGACTATTTGTACGAGTGTCCAGAATTAAAGTAGGAATAAATCTGTCCCAAGGAAGCAAATTTATACTTATCCAACTTGGCGATAAGCTTGAACTTTTATGTAGTTTTTACTCGATTGTTGTACATATGTACATAAAACGCTCAATGGGTAGATCATATAAAATATTGTTAGAACTACAAAACGACGGAGGAAAAATTAGTGTTCTTTCCAACATTTTATTTGTTCCGCTTCGTTATTAAAGTATGAAATTGGTTTAAACTTGTAGTCCTGAAAGTGTATTGGATCTGAAAATGCACGACTTTGTTTTGTCCCACAATTCTCTGATGTGGAAAAATGTTTTCATTCTCTTTTTGGGCGACACGTTACTTAACCAGGATATTTTTTAAGAAATTTATGTCTCTATTATTTTAGTCACGTGTATACAAAGGCTTTCATACATTTATCGTACACTACTTCATACATTCCGCGTGCTAATCACACCCGTGACAACAATAGTTCTGAAGCCACCTTTTCCGCGACAGCCATAACTACCGCGTTGATATTTGTGTTAGGTAGCGCTGGCAGAATGCTGGCGTCGACGACTCGCAGGTTTTGAATTCCACGTACCCTGCGTTATGCAGAAATTGCGTGGTTTTGATTAGTACATCGTACTTATAATAGTGGTATTCACAGTAACCGATTATTGCGATTATAATCATTATCGATTATAATCACCATTAAATTCTCTTGGAAAAAATAAACCAATGTGATTATAATATAATCGTCAAAAAAATAATCCTCTCCGAGGACGATTGTTTGGATTATAATCCTTGATCCAAATGCAATTTTTTTAAAGCGTCCGAAAAATTAACCGTTGCTATGATACTATTTAATGAATCCTGCTGGATATTTTAGGCAAAATAATCAAAAAACAACAATAATCAGGTGCCTTCATGGTATATGATTATAATCGATTGTGATTATAATCTTCAGGACGATTATAATCGGTTACTGTGAATACCACTAATGATTAATTTTTATTATTACCTTAGTTTGCTGTCCACAACGGACATGGGATCAGAATCTTGTCCCATTTTGCAAGTGCCGACAATGTGGAGCCAACCGATGTAGGTCTGTCTTATGTAGCATCTCCAAAAGTTGGCAGAATTAGGGAAATGATAGGCACAGGCGGGAACGGATGGTCCAGTATACTTTACTTTCATGCTTTGAAAGGGCGACGTGCCTTCCATGATTTTGAAAGCGAGGGATATTCCTACGAAATTTGAGAAACATAATTATAAGTAACGCATACCAAAGCTGAAGGCAAGGTGGATTATATTTTTGAGACTTTAAACAATTTGCTAAATTTCCCAAACCCTTCAAAATTAGGGCATTCAAAACCACCTCAAAGATTCTTAAACTCTGAGGGTATTCATTACGAGTTCGCATCGTTAGCAACGTTCGCAAAAACATGTGGCTTGAAAATTGCGCATTTCCAAGGCTAGTATTTAGTTCGCAAAATATTTTTCACAAATTTTTCAATGGGAAAAGTCCATAAGTCTCTATTGGTTACCGAAGTTTAACCCTTCTAATTTTTGAAATTTCATATTTGGAAAATTTCAGACGCAAAATTTCGGTAACTAGTGGAAATTTACGAATTTTTCTCATTACAAAATTCGAGATATTTCAACATAATTTTCATTTGCGAAGTGTGTTCACTTCGTTGCTTCGCAAAATTCGTAATTTCGAAAAAGTTATGGTGCGATGCGAACTTGTAATGAATACCCTCTCTGTCTTTATGTTTCTAAATAATTAGGTTTACTTACACTAAATATTTATATTTTTGTATATTTTTGTAAAAATTAAAATACAACTAAATTTAGGCATTAAATTGGGAAACCAATTTCAGAAGCATTAAATGTTATATTTGAAGCCATATATAAATGGTAAATAGGTACAAGTTAGAAGTGGAATAGTTTTTAACGAAAAATTAAAACCCGGTTTTAGAATAAAATTTAAAACCGATTTTCAGCGAAATGTAAAATCCAAGTGCGTACATATCTACATATTTAAAGAATTAACCAGTAAAAGATTACTAATTCTACTCTTACAATGCGATGGTGTGAAGTGTAACCCTTCGCACGCGGAGGAAGCAAACTCAACTTCCATTCTATTCCCGTGCTAAAAATCGCCCGTTTTTCGACTTTGACCTCAAAAATTTTGGCAAATTCTGACCATCGCACAAACTGCCGCAAGAAACGTTGGCTGTATTGACATGGACCACGTAATTTCGAAATTTCAACCAAATCGGAGGGTTACACTTCACACCATCGCATTGTTAGTAAAAGATTGTATCGTTGCACTTTACCTTCTAACATGGCATTCTCATCGCGTGAATTAGCAAAATCTTTAAAGTCCACGGTGGCCAAGGCGACATCGTCCGCGTCAGGGTTACTTTGATATGCTGAAACATTAAGCCGAATTTCCCCCTCGGTTTCGGCTCGTCCGAGAACGACGTAAAGCTGGACGGATACATCATTTGCTGAACCGATGCTTGGATACTGTGTGATTCCCAGCTGTAAGTCGGGCCAACCGTATTCTCCAGCTGACTTAGATTGTGACGAAACTATGAAGGCTTGCGGTCCCACCGTCATCCGGGTGAAATACCCGGATCTCGGGTTTCCTTGGAATTTAAGCAGTTCCGTTTGTACGTCCTGATCGCGGAGGATGGGTTGTAAGGTGGAGTTTTTGTTTAATGAGGTGAATTGAAGGAAGACGCCTATATGGTCGCGAAGGTTGGAGCCGACTCCGGGTAGTGAAGATTTAACAGGAATCTGTAATTGGATTTTGAATTAATTTTATCCCTAATTGGGACAGAGTGACTTGTCCGTTATTTCCTCGGGGATCATTGCGGTGACCGAATGGTGACGTATGATAACCAGCCGGTAGAATTAAATACATATCCCAATCGGCCAATGATGATTTACACATCTTAAAGACATCTTCAGGATGTCCAAATATCTGCAAAATGGATATCCGAAAAATGTCTTTGAGACCTGTCCTAGCTTATACAACGTAGGACACGTCTTCAAGACATCCATTTTGGATATCCATTTTGCCGACATTGGAGATCCTGAAGATATCGCAAAGATGTGTAAATCGTCCCTGGCCGATTGAGTTGAATATCTACCTCGGTAGATCATATTTCGGGGACTTAAAACTTGTTTAAAAGTGGGAACTGAAATTCTATCATAATAAACTAGTGTAAAAGCCCGTCTCCCGCCGGGCGAGAGCGTTCATATTTGATTTTCGTGAAAATTAAGTCGGATTGTTCTTAATTGCAGCGAATCATATTTTACTATATATGTAATTAGCTAGAAATGCCTGTTAGCGAGGAAGTGAAACTTTCTCCACTTTTATTTCCGTCACGGAAAAATACTTTCACTTCCGTTGCAGACAAACATTTCCAGCTTATGATATAGAAGATTGTTTTATACAAAGTTGTACCTTAGCTTTTCGCAGAGTATCCTCAGGTCCAACTCCTGACCGAATAAGGAGAAGTGGGGAGGACATCGTACCGCACGCGACGATTACTTCCCTTCGAGCGTGAGCAATCTGTGGAATCCCGTGCCGTTTATAGGCCACTCCATAAGCATAATTCCGCTCATCGATAAGAATCTATTTAATTGATTGTAATTAAACAAATAAAAGTTTCGTTCTTTCTGATTAAAAATAATTTAATTCCAATGGTTCAACCTTATCGACTCTTGAATAGGTGAGAACTTTTAGGGTTGGACGATAATTCATTAAAGGTTTGACTACTTGGTTGTATGCACTTTGACGAACCGCGTTCAACATGGACATCGTCATTGGGACAAAGGCTGTAATGGAAGTGGAACGTTAAAGTGTCAAAAATTTATGCGGAATAAACATTTTTTATTCGCAACAAATGTGTCTCACATTCTTCCTGGAATGCGTTCGCGTCTCGAATATGATATCCTAGTTCAATGCCAGCTTGAAACCAAGCAGATAAAACGGGAGGAGTGTCGGTGTTAACGATTATTGGGCCGTTTATCCCATAGTAGCCTGCTCAATTACATACAGAATTTGACTGCGCATGTGCAACATCGACGATGGAATCTTTTTTAAAAGCTTCACCAGGATTAAGTAGCGAGTTACATGAAAAAATCAAGCAAAAAATTTAAAATTATGTACATTTATCTTATCTTTGCTTGGAATAAAAATATTGAGGGACAAAATTCGCATTTTCGGCTGGGGTTTCGCCATGTGGGGGAAAAGAAAATTGTAAGATAAAACTTACAATTAGTTAAAAAATAAAAATATTTTTTGTGACCCTGATGAAAACAACATTCGTGGTAGAACGATTGCTCGAGTGAAATAAAAACTGAACATTTTTTTAATCTAGTTTTAAAAACCGTTTAAAAACATAATTTTTTTTAAATTTACACTTCCTACCAGTATTTTCGTTCAAAGGGGCAATTTAACCGAAAGTTGAGTTCCTCGTGGATCCTAATTTTTGGCATGATTTTTTGATATAATCCGGTAGAAAGTCCCAATGTAACATTAGGAAAGGTTCCCTTGCGAGGTTTTACTTTACCTGCCCTCTCATCCTCGCTGACAAGCCAGCCTCTGAATGATTCAGTAGTTTTGAAGTGACGCAGCATGTTTTCGTAACTCCACGACCGGTCTCCTGTAAGCGTTGCGTAATTTTCGTAGTCTCGAGGTGATCCACGGAAATAAATGTTTGCATTGTGGGATCCCGAGCCACCCAGCATTTTCCCGGTGGACATTCTGCGCCGCTACCTTTCAAGTTTAAATTAGTTAGTTTGTCGGTACGATGTCATCAGGGCTACATAAGTAGTTACTCAACCGTGTCAAACGGCCTATTAGCCCCAGGGAAAGGAGAACCCCGGGGTTACGCTATTGACCAAACCCAGGGGTTTTACCTGGTTTGGTTTGCAATTTATCCTTCTTTCTTTGAGCCACATTTTTATGGCCGCGAAAAACACGTTTGGCGAGTCCGGACTTTCACCCCTCCGCATTTTGTTCATTTAAGTCGGATCGTTTTAAAACTTTGGTGACTTTGACTATCATCATTTATCTTTCGAATTCCATAAATTTAAATTTTATAGTTTCGCGAGATCGGAATTAAGCGTCTCGTTTTGTACTGTTAAGTTACTTTCTGGACAAGCCTTATGAATGAATCCTTCATCTGAGTCTAAAGCACAGGAGATTAAAATCGACCCTTTTAACATTTGAATGATGGATTTTTGGTCGCAAATCATGTTTATGGGTAACTTTCCAACAAGGGAAATGTACATATTTATATTGTACACAGGTCTTTCCCCCCTTGTTTGATTCATTTCACATGCATGTCATTCTGTTACCGTAACCAATTTACATTAGTTTGGAAGCAGTAAAATTAATCCGACTTACCCGACCTTGCGAATCTGGCTCGGAGAAGAAAATATTGTTGATCCCTGACGTGCCATCGGTGGAGGTCAGTTCGTAATAAAACTGGTTGTCCGTAGCGGGTGGGGGTGGCCCACCTTCTTCGAGAAGCAGGACGCTAAATCTTTCCGATAGTCTCCCAGCCAAGAGTGATCCGGCCGTGCCAGCCCCAACTTTATTTTTGAGAGAACATTGGGTTAATTTTGATTTTTCTAGATAAAAGTAAAGGGTGTTGATTTAATTCGTCCTGCCTATTTGCAAAGTTACCCGTCAAAAAGGATAAAACCTCGAGGAATTTTTTTTATTAAATGTGCATTGGTAAACAATTTGTCAAAAAACAATTTATATGTAAGTACTAATCTTGACCTTAACTATTTTATTTAGACTTTGACAATTTTTGTAAATTTGCGTACAAAAGAATTGGGACGAATTCAATCAACACCCTTTATTTACTAGTGAGAAATTTATTCAAACCAATTATGTAGTCGTATGCGGTAATTCGCGGGAGCGATAAATCCCCCTCTAATTCCTGTAAAGTCTTTTGTAAATCGTCGCTGCGGTACTTTTCCACGAATAGTTTGACAGCGATGGAAAAAGAGGCGAGGAAAAGGGTGGGTAACATGGTAGGTAACAATGTTCAAAATTTGTACTGTTTTGTATAAAATTCGGGTAGTATCTAAGTCAAATTTGTAGCTTTGTTAATGACGCCTCCGAAGAACACAGATTAATCCTAAGTTCGGCCACGAAGATAATCGACGAGAAGCTGTGGGAGCTGGCGCATTTAGCAATAATTAAATGTTTGGAAGTGCACACTCAACAAATTCCGGTAATATTTAGACTTGAGTGTACCGGCCCAGATGCTAATTTGGTAATTTTTGGCGTATTGGCATACGTGGTGATTTAGTACCACTTAGCATGTAGTGCGTTATTTCCATGCGGTGATCAAGTCGTATTCAAGTTGTGGGGTAGGATTATTATCGTCCGGTAGAGTCGCATGTACTCATAGTTACACGTGGATGATAATCGGTTGATAATTTCTGCGAGTGTATTTAAGTTTGGACGGATTTGTTTAACTCTGTGATTTTCTAACGCGACAGTGAAGGAGAAAATCGTTTAATTTTTTGCGAATATTGACCTGAAATGGAGCCTGGAATTTGGTTCGGGTTAAGGAAACAATAGTGTAACGGTTAAATGTGTAATTAGCTCTCAATGCGTGGGGTACATTACGAAATTGTACCTCGTGAAAAATTCCATATGGGCCGTTCGTATAAATAATGACTGATTACCTATGTACATACGCATACATTACATATGTACTTCGTGTTCACACCCTGTACCTAACTGACAAATGAGTACCGTACTAACCAGGCAAACAAGAGGAAACACATTGTGTGCTAAATTTTCAGGTGTACAAAGGTTTTACTGAATACGGAATGACTTCTTTAATAGCGAGGTAGTTTGTCCGAGATATGCATTGTTTTCGTAACTTTGTCCAATAAAGTACCAAAACCATATTTACTTGGAACAAGGATATTTTAATAGTAATGTAGTATTTATTATTTATGTCAATACGTGCATCACATTAATGTTTTGTGGTAGAGGTGTATTTTCGATTAGGTCGGGCACCGCACAAACCCCCATAATTGCGTTGGATTTGTAGAATCTGGTGCGTCCACGGTTCGAAGGTCGACTCCAATATCGTTCTGTGATCTGTTTGATGTGCACGAGATTTGTTGTTTAATGAGCATTTATATTTTTATTTTTATAAAGGGTGTTGATTTAATTCGTCCCGACGATGGTTCAAATTTACTTCATATTTTTCTTTGAAATTATTGTACCATGTGTAGCGTTAAGCAGAAGAATCCAGAGCTTTCAACGGTTTTGAGTTACACATACATACGCTTTCAAAAATCGGGCCAATTAAACCAACCCTCTTTGGTTGAAACAAATACTAAATTTGCATAGTTACCCGGAGTAATAGAAACTCGCTTCTGGACTCTCCCGAACCCGTATTGTGTAGAAATTAGTTGCATCCACAAGTTTCAGCGTGTACTCTGCATAAGCTCCGGTACCATTCTATGAATACATTGGAAGTTAAATACATTTGGATCTTTGTATGACCGATTTGAGAGGGGGGAGCAGGGGTCAAGGTATCCTTTGCTTTATGCCACAACAGATAACATATACTTCACCAGGTGGGTATGATTACTAGACGGCGGAAATGTATGTATTTCTAAGTTTTTCATATGTACCAAATCAGATCGTACTAACAATGGAGGTCTCCCAACGTATGCTCACAGATTTGGATCAAACTAGCGTCAATCGATCACAAATATAATTAGTATGAAATTTGCAGCTGGAACTATCTGCCAATGCGCAGGTTTGACGGAGATATTTGCATAAAAAGCGGGAAAAATGCGCAGCAAATTTGGAAACTTAAAAATTACAGTCTTGGGGGTGCGTTTTCTCCTCTTTTTATGCAAATATCTCTGCCAAACCTGCGCATTGGCAGATAGTCCCAGCTGCAGATTTCACACTAATTATATTTGTGATCGATTGACGCTAGTTTGATCCAAATCTGTGAGCATACGTTGGGAGACCTCCATTGTGAGACTTCGTACACTGACATCCCATCTAAGCAAGATCGCAAAAATTCAAACATGGTTTTCCATATTTTACATAGATAGTTTAGGGTTTTTCGTACATATTACATATTTTCATGCATATTTCGAGTATTTTTCAAAATATCAATATTTTAGTTGATATTTCGAAGTTTTTTATGTAAAAATATGTGTCTTCATTCAGAAATTAAGGTTTCATCAAAATTATATTTCATAAATTTATGTACTAGAAAATTCAACTTGAAAAACATTTTTATATGCATATTTTAAGGTTTTTTAAGCACATCATACATACATATTTTGTGGAATTTACGTACATACATATCCGCCCTTTGACGATTACGGGACAATCGAGCACATGCTTTATGTACATACGGTCCCTAAATTTAAATTATATTCATAATGGGCAAAATCAACCGAGGATCTTCATTATTCCTTCGCATCCTAAGTACTTAGCGAAGAAAAAACATGGAGTCAAACCTCGTAAAATTCGGTAGCTTGCCGAAGTTTGTAACTTGATTTTCCTTGACAAAATCCAACCACGCCTTAAATAAATCTTGTCGAAACTTACTTTACGCTACGAAGAATATAATATACCAAGGACATGATGAAATAATGAACACCCTGGATATAAATTTTATTTTAGAGTAACCACATGAAATTTGAAGACCCAATTACTACCGAAACGCGACTATGTTCTTCATATATTTGAATAAAGTAATAATCTAGGTATTAACGATTTTAAGGATGGCGCAAACCTGTATAGTTGGGAAAGTATAAAGATCATAATGCAGATGCATGACCCAGATCCTTCCTTCAATTCCTTTTCCAAGTGCGGACAAAATGTAGTAATGGTCGGGAATACCTGTAGCAACGAATCATAGATTTATATACATGGTACAGGGTGGTTAAAATGTCACGCTACAATGGAAAATTTTTCGAAGGGGAAAAATCGTAAATTTCCATTAGTTACCGAAATTTTATTTCTAAAATTCAAAATTTCAAGAATTTCGTCATCAGTGTTCCATAAGTTTATAATAATTTTATAAAAATCTCAACCAAAAATCTTGTAACTAATGGAGATTTAGGGATTTTTCCCAGTGAAAAATTTTCCATTGTTACGTGACATTTAAATCACCCTGTATATGACAGAGACGAGATATGTATGACGACTACACTTTATCAATCAAATTATTTCGAGCGAAAATATATGTATGTGGTGGCCACGTGCATATTTAGATTCGAAGGGGCCCACTACGAGTGTGATATTTCAAACTATTTGAATCTCGAAACTGTCTCAATTCATAATTCTTTCCTACTCTGGCTTCACACAAGCATCATAAACAAACCTGTATGCGAGTAAATTATATTCAAAAATTTTGATTTTCGTTATTGCCCACGAAAATGGGACAATTCAGATTTTTCTAGGATCGAGGAATTTATATCGGCAAGTGTTTTAAACGGTTTCAGTACAACAAAAAATAAGTCGTTTATGCAAATTCCCATGAAATTATCTAAGATTTTTGGAATTTTGTTTGCCAAATAGGAAATATATAACCTTAATCTTGATGAATTTGTCTAATTCATTTGCCGCTATTACATACAGGGTATGCTACCCGGGTTTTTGGGGTATTGGGGTATTGCGGGTTTTGGTGGGTTTTGGGGTAGCAAATTTGAGCAATTCCCACGGGTAGTCGGGGTAGTCGGGGTTTTCAAATTTTACAAAATATGATAGTAGGGCATTACTAGCAATTCCACAAATTAATTGCTTATTAAAAGATAATTAATAAGCAGTTTTGTTGCGAAATTACTGAAGAACTGATTTTTTTCATTAATTTCTGGACTTAATACATGAGACACTGACTCAGTTTGCCCCCAAAACCCCGACTACCCGCAAAATCCAGGCAAAAACCCAAATATTTATGTTTTAGGTTGACTCACCGTTAAAAATTTCCAGTTGGAATACTTGGGACAAATCCGAGCAGTCGGGCACGTGCGGCATTGCATGGATTTTATTTTCGGAACTCAAAGTGGAATTGTAGATGCTTAGAGCCATCTAAAATATGGAATTCTTCCATGATTTTCGCCAGAGCAGCTCGGCGAATATCATGGATATTAAATATTTAGATTTTTGATGGCGAGAATTTAACATGGAATTGGATGTCTGGATATTGAAGGGCGAGATTTAAATATTTGAAGGTTTTCACCCAATATCCGCCTAGCTTGGGATGCACACTTGGAATTTTTGTGTTCACTTACGTTATTGCACTGTTTATTTATTATCGTGTATCGGACACTCGTCTGGATTGGAGTAGTCTCCGGAGGTCGGTTGGTCGTCGTTTTAGTTTTTGGGCATGTTAGTTCTGTGGGTGTGGTTGAGGTGGATGGTGTGGGGCTGGTTGTTGTAGTTTGAGCGTCAGTATCGAAAGAAGTGTGGATTCTGTATGCGGAACAATTATTATTGAAGATATGTACATCTTCCCCAATTTCTATCTTCTATCTATATTATAAGCTGGAAAAGTCTGTCGGCCACGGAAGTGTTCCGCAACGGAAGTGAAAGTAAAGAAAGTCATGTTTCGAATGACTCGAAAATTCAAATTTAATTAAAAGTAAAAAAAAATATACAAATCCGATTATCTGTATATATGGTGATCTTGGGATAATTGTTTTATGGTGATTATCAACTCCCAGATAACCACCATCAAATAAATATTCAGAATCGCATGGTGAATATAAAAACATGATTTTCTGTACTTTCCCTTCCGCTGCGGAACATTTGCTTCCGCTTTCGTTGCTGACACCCTGACAAACATTTCCAGCTTATGTATAATGTACCCCCGGTGGGAGACGGGCTTATACGCTTGTAACATATATGTACTACAGTTTACATAATTTAGAGGTGAAACGAAATTAAATCCCTTTATAGAAATGTCTCGACTGTGAATTTGTCTGTTTCCACCTTAACTCTAGAGCGGATGCAACACCTATGTGTATTGTAAATTTTGAAGAGTAGTTAAATTAGAATATGGACATGGAAGGTCATAAGGTTACGGAAAATCGAGAATGGTTTGCGGCATCATACATATTTGCAAATGACCTCACGGGGAGGATTAGGTATATTTGGGGTCGATTGGACTACTCTCCCCCCTGGGCGATGTGGTACATAAAATTGTTAAGGAATTACTTGTTTCGCCCTATTGCTATATTTCGTTCGCATTATTTTTTGTAACGTCTTAAAATCAATTAATAAATTAACCCTTACGGAGTCTCCGTCGTGACTATGACGCAGGATGTGACGCTTTCGTGATTACAGGTAAGCAACGACTGGTCCCACACGGTCAGGGGAGCACAATTGTGAACAATCGGGACCCCGTTGGTGCACTCGATGAATTTTCGGCAATCGTACGGATATGGAAAATAAGTCGGTTGACCCTCCTCCCAAGGGGGACCTTCGCCCATCTAACAATTGTAATTTTTATAATTTAAATGTTCAGACAGTTTGTAATTTGTTAGTGATTTTTTTATTGCCAAATTTTGAATAAAATTTTACTCAAGGCTGCGCAAAAAAAGTGGACGACATAAACAGAAGTTAAAATTTATCCAACCGTCGTGCCAAATTTGTCAAAGCATGTGTAAGACTTTTGTAAATTAGTAAATTAGTGTAGATGAATTTTGCCAAACGTTGGACAAATTTTAACTTTTGGTTGTGTCATCCTCTTTTTCTACGCAAACTTGAGGAAATCATTTCCTGGAAATATTAGTTCTTTTTTTAATTCGTGTATTTGCCTCATGAAAAAAGTTGATAACGTTTACATACCTTGGTTTCATTCACAACTTGGGGACCAAGTTCAGTACCCAGTACTTTCTGAGGGTCACAATTCCCGGTAAAAGTTACGAGTAAAAAGCAGAAATTAAACGTATTTCGATGCATCGTTTAGCCGTTGATTTTTAATATGGTTTACTCATTCAAGGTTATCCAGCAGACGAGTAACTAATTGAAATGAACGGTGTAGGCCGTATAAATGCAAGCTTTTAATCAGTAGCACCAGGCACCGAATTAGCGGAGGGAACCCGGGCAAATGATCCGTGCGCCAAATTCTATGGGGCACCCCAAGGTAATTTGTTTACACAGCTGCACACTACTTGATCTTTACATAATTTGAACCAATTTATTTTTAAATGAATAATTAGATAAAGAATAAAGAGAATAAATTATGTCGCAATTTAAATAGAAATACAATTTTTTAACTTTGAGTAGTATTTATCTTCTCCACTAATACTTATCTACATATATGCTGTAGTTCAATATTTTATAGAGCAAAATTTAGTTTATACAAACGAAGTCTACATTAGCATAATACGCTTGGCTCAAATTGCATTTAAAAAAAATGTTCGCAAGGAACACAATTCAAAATATGTGCGTGCAGAATTTCATCGCAAGGGCGCCGTCGGAAACTTACCCTAGTCATTGAATACCCAAGGTAGGTCACTGAGTGGAAATACTTGGAACTGGATAAAGTGCGACGCACATTGTTCACTTAATCGCTTAATTCTGCAGCATTATCAGCCCTAATTTTATTGCTTTTGAATCCTTTGATTTGAGCATGTATGTATGCAAATCGTTCGTAGAAATGAATTTTCACAAGCTTACTTTATTATCTCAATGCGCTGTGGCCACGCAGGTTTCACATTCTTCTTAAATATCCAAATCAACATAATGAATTGATTGATAACGTGCCGCAAAAAGAATCCGCAATCTATCTATGCTAATGATACTCATTTTGCGTAGAGTTTTGTGAATTACTGCCCTTGGAGGTTAGTATTTGTAAAGACAATAAAGATAAAACTAGGTTATTCTGGTAAAATTAATACATGAAGTGTTTTTTAGAAAAACTAACCTTGCAAGGCTAATATGCATGCATATTAGCTTAAATATAATGCAATTACACCTTTTGTCAAGCTACACCGGGATTACATATCTGGTGAGTTATCAGCATTAAAAAACGAAGCCACAAGAAAGCAGGAGTCACGTGGCACTTACTCATCTTTCCGTTGAATGAACTTTATAAATAAAGAAAAGGGTTGGCTGCAAAGTTTAATTTTTGGGTAAATTTCCCTTCCTCGTTAGTCCCTTCTCGGGGTGGAAAAAAGTGGGCGGGTGAACTTTGGCGCACACCAAATATTTTTCTTCAAAGGGGCCATTCAGCGGAAGGATAGGTTTCATGTGATTCCTAAATTGTTTTCCATTTTGGGGTTACGAGGATTAAAATAAATTTATTTTTATGCAAGTAACATTTTTCCAGTTTTAAATTAATTTTTAACAGTTTAATATTTTGAAGCGTTCTATTTAGTATTTAAATAAACTTATGTATGAACAGTATTTGAATTGAATGATCAATTCAGTAATGTAAGTAGAGCGGATACTAGCCAGTAAGGCCGATAACCTTCGATAACCATCGATAGCCAACGTTACGTCGTCCTTCGACAGCGTTGTGCATGCTTGCGACGTCTTAATACAAGTACCTCTGAGCGTCACAAGGATGCACAACGCTGTCGAAGGGTGGCGTAACGCTGGGTAGCGATGCTTATCTCTGAAAGCGATGGTGGAAGTGATGGGGTGGGTCCTGGACGTGGCGACGACGACAACGATGACCAAAAATGTGTCCCCCACCACTACCACCACCGCGAACACAAACTTTAAAAAATAAATAAAGAAATATAAATAAATGACGACGACGACGACGACTTTGAATAAATACTTAGGTATGTATATAACTTACATTTATTTGTTGAGATCCGTCTTCTTCTGACATAAAAAAAATAATAGTAACTGCACCACCACCACTACCTACCACTAAAAAGATAACGACGACGACGACAACAAGTTTTAATAAATGCTTGCATATGTACATATGTATGTACATAACTTAAAATTATTTCTTTTGTGGTCCGTCTTTGTACATACAAATAATACTACTATCGCCACCACCACCACCACCGTAAAAAAAATTTCTAATGACCGGCGCCACGGCCAATTTCGACACGGTTAGTGTCGATCGCTGTGTTGAGGGCAGCGACAGCTTCTTGAGCACAGAGCTCAGTCTCGTCGTCTGCTTGGTTCCAGAAATCTTAAAAAAATAGTTGGTTAGTTATGGTTTTTTTAAAGAAAAGACCTGTCCGCCATAACTTCTGCATGTAAGAAAGAACTCTTAATATTTTTGCATCCATATTTTATTATGGAATTTGAAAAAGAATCATTACAAAAAACCAACCGTCGGTATGGGATTGGTCGAGGGTGAAGACGACGACGAGCAATGGTTCACTTCACTCGTACAATAAACACGACCACGACCACGACGATTGTGACGCTGATGACAATCGTTACGACAATAACTGAAAACACATTCAAATTAATAGTCATCTAATACTAATTATTTTGTCTCCATGCTGAGAATCATGAGAGCAATGTGTACCTAACTAGTTCTATACATAGTACATGAGACGTGTGCCTATCTATGTACATACGTAGGCATGATGATATTACATAGATGAAATGCTATGTATGTATCTATGCACGAGGTACATGTACACTTAACTCAATGAACTGTAGAAATAACCATATTCTACATTCCCCCAAAGTAACCCCCTCAAACCGTCCTTAAATCTCATATGACGTCACAATTTCGATCAAAAATACCAATGTTCAATTGAAAACACTAACAAATTGATCTACTCCAATGACACCATCCCTAACACCCACCCCCTGACCCCCACCCCTCCACTTTAAAACTAGATTAACTACTAGTAAAAGCGATGCGGTGTAGCAATTTTTCAAGCAAAATTGAAAGTAAAAGCAAAGTAATATTGTATACCTGATTTTCTGCAATTTTACGTTTTTATGCACTTGAACACGGTCGATTTTTTTATTACGATTTTCACACCTTTGTTCAAGTACAAATGAGTAAGAATTATATGATTCGACAAACAGATCCGCCGAGTATTTCAAAACTGGAATTACTCTATTTCATTATGTTCCCCACATGAAAAGAATTAAAACTCAACAAATTTTTCGGGCGCCAAAATTTTTTCTGGGGGGTTATGAGAATAATAGGAGATTAATATGGTGCACATAGGGCACCGCATATCTAAGGAACGGGTGGATGAAATTTCAAAAACAAAATTTTGTTACACTCTTTGGATCAGTACCTCGAGGTGTTTTTCGAACTGAGTTGAAATTCCAACTTTCAGGGGGTTTGTGCATTAACGAAAAATTTCCGAAAAAATTAGTTTTTGGAAAAGACGAAAAAACTATGGCGTAATGTTTATCGGTTAGATCTGCCCCAATTTTTGATATCTTAAAGATATTTGGCAGTAGAACAAAAGTTAAATAACAGTCGAAATTGACCTGCGTGACCTTTTTTCAAAGACTGAAAGGTCACAATGTCAAAGGTAACGGGGCCACATAAATGGGGTACCGTTGCAAAGGTCTTGACGAGAGGATTCCGAAAATATATACTTTGTGGGGTCGGGGACCACCCCCTGCAAGTTCAGAGGGTAATAAACGAAAATCTGCGGTTGTCAAGAATTTAACACAGCAGTGGATAGGGAGCTAACATGGAAGGTCAAAAGGAAGGGGAAAAACTCAAAAAATGTTCTCCTGCCTCTAGATTTGCAGGGGGTGGTCCCAGACCCCACAAAGTATATATTTTCGGAATCCTCTCGTCAAGACCTTTGCAACGACACCCCATTTATGTGGCCCCGTGACCTTTGACATTGGGACTCTCAGGTCCCTGAAAAAAGGTCACGCAGGTCAATTTCGACTGTTTGAGTTATTTAACTTTTGTTCTACTGCCAAATATCTTTAAGATATCAAAAATTGGGGCAGATCTAACCGATAAACATTACGCCATACATTTTTCGTCTTTTCCAAAAACTAATTTTTTCGGAAATTTTTCGTTAATGCACAAACCCCCTGAAAGTTGGAATTTCAACTCAGTTGTTGAGTTTTAATTCTTTTCATGTGGGGAACATAATGAAATAGAGTAATTCCAGTTTTGAAATACTCGGCGGATCTGTTTGTCGAATCATATAATTCTTACTCAAATGTAGTTAAAAAGTTCGAAAACATATTTCGTCAGAAGGAATTATCGTTTTTATTGAAATCCAATTTCCATTCAATTTTAATTTCAAGATTTTATACATATCAGTAACTGAAATTTCTAAAAGAAAACCTCGGTCACCTCTTAAATTTTAAAATAATATTGGTTGGTGGAGGAACATAAGACCTCGTCCCCGCTCCCTATTGGTCAATTGGGCTCTCAACTTGGCTTCTGCAACCTTAAGTCTTCTAGGCCTATCTACTTTTCTCTGAACTCACCTCATTTCAAACATTTCATGTACTTATTTTTAAGATTTACATACTATTAATTCCACAATTTGCATTTTTGACTTCTCTCAACACCGATGAAATTAAGGAAACACGAACACTTTTTTGGAAAACGATAAACATTTATTGATTGTTGACACTTATACAAATATTTTAATTGTATTTAAATTGCAGGATTTCTATTTTTAATTTTTGTTTGTGATCATGTAAAAAGTAGAACATATGCATTTTATGAAAAAAATAAAATCTATGTAAATTGTTATTACAAACCGTACATATGTATTTTTAAATTTAAATTCCATTTCGAAGATTTCCAATTTAAGCTTTTTACTGACCTTGAAATTCAGAAAATATGCACGTACACATTTTGGCAAAAAATAAAATTTTGCATGACACCCTCGTTGGTGGTTTTTGCCAAATTACACAATCATAATTTAGATGAAAGTCAACGTGCGAGTGCCACAAAAATCTGTGCCGTTTTGCCTTTCCTAATTTGGGGCGAGATGAGACGAAAACCCCGTGATAAAATTAAAGTGAAAGTTATTCGTTGTGTTTTTTATGCTTTTCGCAAATACGACCTTTAGAGTCAAAATTTGATTAATTAAGCTGATGGCGATGTATAGGTAGAAAAACGCTGAAGATATCTAGGGAAAAGTATTAAACTAATTTGAAGTATTGATGAAAGTCAGAATCCTCTAATACACTTTTAAAGACATATTGCAGATTCTGAAATTTCTTTAATACGTTATAAACGACAATACATAAATCTGGTTCAATCGTCAAAAATCGAGCAAAAAAGCATCAAACAGGCAAAAATGCAAAAAGGCTGCCTTTTTGCACACACTGGCACAAATGTGCTCCCAATTACGCAGGAAACTAGGCCAGAAGTTGGACAAACGACAGTTTGGATTGATTCGTTTATTTGAATTGGAATTGCGAAAGATAGCTTGGGAACATTGATTTCTGTTTGACTCGGCCGGATGTGGTGTCATAGATGATAACGACATGTCCGGAACACTACAATACCTTACCCGACTGATGCGCCAACTTACTCCTTCCAGTCACATATTTATGTACATATACATACCCACACTTCATAACTTTTTACGAACCTACTATCTAAAACCAGTCTGCTCCATACCTGTTCGAAGAACTTTTTTCATTCAAAGTTCAGTCATCCCTATTTCTTACTGAACGTCTTCATTCACACTCACAAGGGAAGGTCCCCGACTGCTTATCGTGTCCAGGGTACCCATTATGGTTTATAGAATCCGCTAGGACCCCAGATGAAGGATTTATTCATATTTCCGTCTAAAAGTCATATTTGGCGCCCTGGCGTGGCGCAAAATTTAAAAATTTGCATTTTCGACCAATTTCAAACCCCCATAACTTTTGCAGTTTATGTCTGATTTTCAAAATTTTATGCTTAAAACGATTACAAAAGTCGAAATTTTAGAGAAAAAAATTAAAATACAAAATTTATAATTTTTGAGATATTGTTAGCATTTTTCGACGAACCCCCCTTTCAAAGAAAATTAAGAAATTTTACGAAAAGTTAAAAGTAATAATTTTTCGAAAAATGTGATGGGATACGAAAGTTGAAGTCCTTGTCATGATTTTTGCCAGAAATTTTGAAAATCCGTCCAGGATTGCAAAAGTTATGGCAGTTTCAAAAATAAAAACATTCAAATTTGGCGTCACGGTACGCGCCAAATATGACTTTCACACGGAAATATGAACGAATCCTTCATCTGGGGTCCTAGCAGATTCTAAAAAACATAATGGGCACCCTGGACACGATAAGCAGTCGGGGACCTTCCCTTGTCGGTCATTTTCTGTCAAACGCATTTCATCAAAGGTAAATACAAACGCGTGTAATTTCATGTATGGATAAAATAAAAATAACACATGCATCCAAAATAATAATAAATTTCTTACAATTTTTATTAAAATTAATTTTCTGTTAAACTCTGTTTCATTTCTTGTGATATCAGCGGGAAAGTCATGTGCCCATTTACTTAACATGGGCACGTGACTTTCCCGCTGCTATCACCAGAAATGAAACAGAGTTTAATTTCAAATTTTAATTTTTAGCATTTCTTATCGGCAATAAAATTAAGCAAACACATTCACTTTTTGGCAAAAATAAAACGTTAACATTTCAAACTACACATATTTTTAAACTATAATTTCAATTCTAAAATGTCAATTTTTAACTTTTTTCAACCGCATTGAAGTTAAGAAAAAATAAACCTTTTAGCTCAAAATTAAAATTAATTAACCGTTGAAACTAAATATTTTATTGTTTGATTTTAATTCCAACATTTCCATTTCTAAGTTTTGTTAATGGTTATTAAAGAAGAAAACATAGGTACTTTATGGCAAAAATAAAACCATAATTGGACACATTTCAAAATGTATGCATTTAAAAACTTAAATTCCATTCCAAGATTTCCAGTTTTACAGGTTTTTTAGTAAATTAAGAAAACACATACACTTTTTGGCAAAAATAAAGTGTTGCATAATATTTCAAGCTTTGTTTTATACTTCATTATCATTCCAAGCTTTCCACATTTAACTTTTTTACGATTATTAAATTAACACGACACATGCACTTTTTGGCAAATCTTACTCCTCACATATGCACAATTCCATTCCATTGTCAATGCCTTGCAAAAACTTGGCAGCCACCATACTTGGCAGAAACAGACACGAGTTCTGATTCCCTTTTAACATTCTTTCTTCAGAAATCTTACATACGTTACATACGTCTTACATACATATTATAAGTTTCTTTTGCGTCTCGACTCAAACTTTTTTTCTCAACATGTTCCAAAAAAACTTGAGTGAAAGAGTGACGTTGAAAAACTTGTTTTCGTCTAATAATAAATTTCTGCCTCAGTTTTCGTCCGACCACAAAGCAAACAACAAGACGAGACGAAACTAATTAGTAAAAAGACAATCGTTGTTAAATAATTTTTGAAAAATAATTGAAAAAATCTATGTAAAAAATTCGTGTAACTTAACCTACATAATCTAATAAATTCAGATTTATTTTTAAAAAATATTTTAAATTACGTAATAAATCAAAATTTATTTATTTAGCAATTTAAAAAAAATATTTAAAAAATAAAACTTTAAAATGGCACCTTCCTTCGTTTCCATAAGTCGTCGTTATGCAAATGCGAGTCCTAGTCAATTAAGACAGAAACAGGAAATTGACACTTTGCTGAAGAAATATAGCAAAATTAGAATACCCAAAGAATCCCAGGAAAATCAGGTTAAAAATCATAACAGACGTAAACAAGAAGAGAAGGATTTGTTCCTAATTGCAAATTCAAATCAACTTCAGGAGCAACAACAATTGCTAAATTATCAGAGAGAACAGGTAATTTGTTTTTAAAAATGCGTAATTTATTAATCTATTTAAATTAATTAAATTATAAATATGTAACTGCTTAATTTGTTTATTTATTTAAATTAATTAAATTATAGATAATTTGCTTAATTAATTAACTAATTTAAATTAATTGAATTATAAATAATTTGCGTAATTTACTAATTAAAATTTAAACAATCCCTAGATAATTGCACAATTTGCTTACCTATTAATTAATTAATTAATTCATTTCCAATTACTTTAATAATCATTGCCCACATAATTCATCCCTGAAATTAATTAGTAGCTTTCCATAACAATTAAATAATACTCTTGTAATTAATGTATTATTTAAAATTAGTTTAATAATAATTACTCAATAAATTAATTCATTAGTTTAATTTAATAATTAGCATAATTTGTGTACTAATTGAAATTAATTTCTTTTCCAGAATCAGCAAAGCGTCACAACTCGTACTAAAGGGTCAAAGCGAACAAAGGAAATCGCCACAACCTCAAATGCTTCTCTAAACAATGCAAATTCTAATGAATTGGACTACGGCTTGGCAAAAGCTGCGTCGGAGTATGTCGCCAAAATCTTGGCACAAGAGGAACCCGAATGTCAACAAGAAAGGGAACAAATCATAAGACAAAATTTCCTACAAAATTTCGCCAATGATTTCAAACTCAAACAAAACGATGGAAACAATCCCGATAATATTTGCACTGGAAAGATTCGCGTCATAATTCGTCACAGGAGACCATCCAGAGAGAAAAAACCTGCCGAAAAGAGGCCAGTAAAAGTCCAACAACAACAACAACAACAAGTAAATAAATCTTCAACCGTTGCCATGGTTACAAAGTCACGAGTAAATACAACCCAAAATGTCGTCGTGAAGAGAGAAATTATTAAAATGCCAACCATTAAAACTACAACGGTTGTAAGAGTCAAGAAAATTAAAGTTTAGAAATGTCCAATAGTATAAATCGCATGTACTAAATCAAAACAATAATGTATTCTAAATTTGAAACTAAATAAACTCTTGCGTCCACGAAGTTAACTAAATTTTTAGGATTCCTCTATAATTTTTAGCCCGAATCAGTGCTTATGTACCTATCCTCTTCTGTCGGTCCGTACATTTGAGTAGTAGCGATAACTTTGGAATTCACTGCCTGTTCTATTTAGTCATAAATCATTTTAAGCTCTGGAGTGTTGGTATTTAAAAAACGGGGACAATCTGCTCTACAAGTTTGTGGTCAAGAATTATGAAATAAATTTCCAGATCCAAGAAATAATTAAAAATGAGCTGATTTTCGCGATGAGCGTTCGAGTCATAAATTAAAGTTGCACTCAAACTTGTCAGATGACTGCATTCAAATAACCCTTTAATTTGTTTCCAAATATTTGTCAATCATGAAGTGAATAATTAGATGAATCCCAGTAGATTTATGTAGAGTGACAATAATGAAAACCGGAATCACTTCACACCCCTACAATTTTGATTTGGATAAGATTCTCAATATTTGTAGAGCTGATTTTTCCGAGTCCAACGGTCCAAGTCCGCCGTTTCTACTCCACCCCTCGCGGAGTGGGAGGAGCTCAAAGTCGGAAAAATAGTTCTGGTCTGCGTTTTTTAGCTCAAAGGCGGGTCAATATTTTTGAAAACGGTTTTCACCAAAGGTTCCTAATTTTTATCTCTACAACCCTTTTCGAGCGTTTTTTAAAATTCTCAAAACGGTTTTCATTATTTTGGGATTGAATTTCTACAGGATTTTTGACTTTTTTAAATGACGCGAATTTGTGCAGAAACCATCCTAATTTATGCCAAACCATCATACAATGACGAAATGTCAAGGTTTGGGGTCCCATAGCTCTGAAATATGTATGCATGAGAACGAGAATCTGAAATGTTCCAGAATTTAACACAGCGGAAGATTGGGAGCTAACATGGGAATGGAATAGGGACAAACTCAGAATATTTTTGTCTCTAGAACAGCAGGGGTTGGTCATACACCCGACAAAGTATGTATATTCTGAATCCTCGCGTGGAGAGCTTTCCAACGATATCTCATATGACCCCTATTGTAAGGTTATATGAGACTTGACCTTTCCCTACTTTTACTCCAAAATCGTGACACCCGTTTTAAGAATTTCAAAAAACGCTCGAAAATAGTTGTAGAGATAAAAATTAGGAAACTTTTGGTGAAAACCGTTTTCACAAATATTGACCCGCCTTTAAGCTAAAAATCGCAGAAAACCCCTATTTTTCCAACTTTGAGCTCCTCCCACTCTGCGAGGGGGTGGAGTAGAAACGCCGGACTTCGTCCGTTGAACTCATAAAAATCAGCTCTATAAACGCTTAGAATCTTATCCAAATCAAAATTGTGATTCCGGTTTTCATTATTGTCACTCTGCACAGTCTAAGAAGTCCTACTAAAACAATTGGGTTACCAGTCTTAAATAAAGCTCGGTCGCTTAACGATAAGGTCGATTACATGTTCCCTTCAGAGATATGCAGAATTTTTCGATGTTCAGATAATCTACGCAACTCAATTATTTCAAAAATTCCGACAATTTCTTGAAATTATCTAGGGGTACATACAGACAGTACCGTACCAACCGTGGTATATCGTGGTACCAAATACCAGGCCCGGGGCCCGAAGGGGCCCGGGCCGGGTCTGTTGCTGTACACTAGATAAAATGAACTTTTCGTGTCGACGATTTTACGAATAATTTATTTAAGCTTACAAGGGACACTCACAACCTGTCGTTTGAGTCCAGGGTACCCACCATGTTTTTTAGAATCTACTAGGACCCCAGATGAAGGATTCAATCATGTTTCCGTGTAAAACTCATATTTGGCCCAATGGCGTGGCGCCAAACTTAAAAATTTGCATTTTCGACCAATTTCAAACCCCCATAACTTTTGCAGTTTATGTCGGATTTTTAAAATTGTATGCTTAAAATGATCAGAAAAGTCGAAATTTTAGAGAAAAAAATAAAAATAAATAAATTTTAATTTTTGAGATATTTTTAGCATTTTTTCGACAAACCCGAAATTTCGAAATTTTGTGAAAAGTTAAAAGCGATAATTTTGGAAAAAATTTCATAGAATACGAAAGTTGAACTCCTTGTCATGATTTTTGCCAAAAATTTTGAAAATCCGTCCAGGATTTCAAAAGTTATGGCGGTTTTAAAATGAAAAACCATCAAATTTGGCGAATTTGGCGCCACGCCATGACGCCAAATATGAGTTTTACACGGAAATATGAATGAATCCTTCATCTGGGGTCCTAGTAGATTCTAAAAAAACGTGGTGGGTACCCTGGACTCAAACGACAGGTTGTGAGTGTCCCTTGTTAGTTTTAAAGTAATTTATTTCAAACAAAAGAGTAGTATTGCATGAGTTTGATTAGTTAAATATTGTGTGAAGTTATTTTTAACTTCGTCAATTTTCATTTTATTGAATTGTAAATAATTACATATTTATAATCTGTATTTGTAGCCGACCAGAGCAATTTAACAATGCATATTAAATATATATGTAGTTATGCAAGGGAATCTAAAGTACTGTCCCACCAAGATCATGTGAAACTGGTCGCATTTGACAGATAATTTCGTGAAACTAACAGATTTAATTGAACACTTGGTTCTAATTATAAGCGAAATACGCAATTATGGAGCGGAGACGGTGCAGTTTTGCAGGCTGATATCCTAGTTTAACCAGGATAGAATGCCACGATATTAATGTAATATCGTGGCATTCTATCTACATATATGTGTATATTTAGAGCATTCTGTTTTCCAAGATTTGGGTACTGCATTTGACTAACTTTGATTTAGTTTCTTCAAAGCTTAATTTAAGCTGCTTAAAACAAATTAGCAAAACAACCTCCACATTTTGCAAATTTTTGAATTAATAGTTAATACAAATAAGTTAATACAAAACAAATAATACAATTTAAATAATTTTTCAATTATGCATTTTCTTGTTTGTTTAAAATTTTGTAATTGTCTACGTAATTTTTTGAGATTATTGAAATTTTGTGAAATTCTGAAACTTTTGAAATGATGATTTTGTCAATGTTATAAATAATTTGCAATTGTGAAAATTATTTCAAGTTTTGAACAAAATCTAAAAGATTATAAATCACGAAATGTACATTCGCTGGATCCAACTATAGATAATCTTGAGGTGGAGAATAGAGTTTTGCTCCTACGCTGTGAATTACTCATTTTTATCGCACTATTGCAAAGTAAAAATCTCCATGGGACGGAAAATTTATCTGCTATCTCAAAGCATAGTGAAAGAGACCAAAGTTTGTATTTCTCTGTCCCGAGGAGATTTGTGCTGTGTAATAATTGCGGAATAATTCATTTGAATCTCACGGTTCTATGATAAATTTCCAATTTCCTTAAATTCTTGTTGTCCGTATAAAAAGGATTTAGAATATTCTGAATAATTTACTTTAATGCCAGCGACGAATTTATTCCTGCAGACTCATATTTTTACATTGATTTTTAATCTGAGCATTTTGTTGGACTTGACAGTTATTTGAAGACAGAACGCTGGTTTCATAAAATCTTTTCAAAATTTTGCATTATGTGATTGCAGAAATCAAAAATGTATATTCGTGGAATTAAATGGGATGGGATTTTCGAAATTGCATTTTCGTGGTACCTAATTTTAGTCCTAGAATTTTTTGAAATTCAAAAGCTGACAAACGACAAATAAATTTGTAAAAAATTTTGACGGCAACTATGTAAATACATATGCCACAATACTGAATACAGAGCTAGAAATATGAAACTTACCTATACTTGTAATTAAATTTTCTATTTCAATTCGGCAAATAAAAAAATATTTGTATGAAAAGGGCGATATATGCATGAACTTTTAATTAACCTCTTGGTATTGTATAGCCAAAATGAATTAAATAATATCGAATATATTGAACTCATGAAAGGGCCCGGTGCCCAAAAACATACCAGGCCCGGTAATTTCATGGTACGGCTCTGCCCATAACTCAGCAAAACCTGAATCACATTTGATACTGGTCTAGACTTAATATTTAGAATTGCCAGCATCAACGCAGTATCTCCATCTCCGTTGGTATAATCAATTATAGAATTTGCGTCTGGCATATTGCTTAGAAGAAACTTTAGCGCACTCCCATTTGCAAATTATGCTGCCTTCATAAAAGGTAGATTTCCCTCGTCATCTTTTTCGTATAATAAGCTCGGATATTTTGATATAAGTTGGGTTGCTAAACAATGTGGCGATTCCATTTCGTGTTCGTTCCATTTTATTCCTAATATATGTAACGCAGTGTATCCATGGTGCCCTCTCGTATAAGGATTTGCATTTTTCTCTAACAAATACTTCGCAATCTTAAATTTTGTCAAGTGTATCGCTCCCAAAAGTAATGAATTCTTGTCACGTTCGTTAATACAACTCGACAAGAAATTAGAGTCCAGAGCTAATCCTTCCACCAGCTCAGTCATAATTTCTAGAGCCATATATTTTTGGGAAAAAAATAAGGCACTTTTTATCCCATCGTCCCATACCTGTTGTTCAATATTACTCCGATTATGTTTAAGTAGTCGAATCATATATTTCCCAAGACCGGCGAAATCATTTTCTAAAGCTGACTCCAATCCAGTTCGAGTGACATCTAATCCATACCCACAAGATCTAACAAATGGATGCACCCATTCCAAGTTAATGATTTCGAGTGCTGAATCATTATCTTCGAGTAACTCAAGGATCCTCTTAGCATGACTGGGAAATCCGTGATTAATCATTGTTTTTATCGATCCTTTCAGCGGGAAGTACTTTCTGCCGGAATACAAGAAGACCTATTTATTTTTGTAAAAGAGCGACCTTAAATACCAAGATGGACATACCTAATCAAGTCCTCATAGTTTAACGTATGTGACCAAAGAACAGGTACATTTCTGCATTCCAAACATCAAAGTATTCTGAGAAATCCCCACAGCCGATAAGCTCATCCAATATATCGCGTTCTCGTTGTTCGTCTTGTTGTATAAGTCCTACAATATTTTTAACAAGACGATGTATTTCTACACTGGAATCATTATCGGCTTCGTAATTGACCAACGAGAATTTTGACAACAGCTTGATCGCACGTTTAAGCATCTGTTTTGGTTCAAGAGGAGATGGAGACTCTTCCAGTATTCTCTCACTATCCTGTATAATGGCGGGGACCTTCTTCAGTATAAAATCAAATGGACAGATATTGTTGAAATAACCACATCCTTCAAAAAACTTTAATGCGATCGAAGCGTACTTATTTGGCGATTCTTTTAATTTTCTAATAGCAATCTTGACACAAGCGTACATTATTTCTTGGTATTTGAAGTTCAAATTTTCTTGGGTGCTAGGATTTTTCGAATGTCTTGATTGTTTTTCAGCTTCAATTTCATGCAAGAACTTGGTTATCGAATATGCAGAGCCAGCAAAGGCGATGGTTCCTGCCATGATGCTTAAAATTATTGGTACTCGTCCAGACTCAGAGACAAGAAAGGAAATCTCGTTTTCGGTATAATCAGTGGAATCTATAAAATAAATGGTCTTATCTCAAAGGAATAATTTTGCATTTTTAAGAGAATGCAATAATTTAAGTGGAGCCGAATATTAATACAATGGAAGTCAAAATGTTCTTAATATTTAGGAATGACTCATATTTGGGTAATAGAGCGTCACAACAGCTCAGTCCCCAAATACGTGTAACTCATTGCTTATGATTGGTTAGAGCATATCTATGTATGTACTTACGATTAAGTGTGCTAGCTACAAGTTCTTTAGCTTCGTCATCTTCTAAAAGATCAACTTGAAATGTGCCAATTTCTCCATGTCCAAGTGGTAACGTGACCTCGTTCACAGATGTTAATAGAATAGCCATATTATCCACATTTCTATTAAGCGGCAAATACATCTGAATGTTCTCAAATCCCTCCATATTGTCAAACACGACCAACGTTGCAAGGGTTTTGGATACTATTAAATCGTAAAGCTTATTGATAAGTAATATTCCACTATTTCCTTGAAGATTTCTAATTCCTTGATGTTCTAATTCCATCGCGACTCTATGTCTGATCCCAAATTCTTTTTCAGCATCTATCCACACTATGTCAGAAAATAGGTCATCTTGGATGCACTGCTCTGCGATTCGTTGAGCTATTTGTGTTTTCCCGTATCCATCCGGACCGTAGAGATTTACAAGAGGAAACCTAATTTCTCCTTTCGAATTCTTACTTCGGGATGTTAGTGACTTGACAACGTCGTCAATCAGTTGATTTCTACCGGTGAAATTTTCATTAGGCTTTGCAATAGGCAGAAAAGCTTTCCGTTCTATAATCGTCGGTTGCTGGATATTTGTATTTTTCCTTTCGATTTTTTGACATAGTGCACTTTCTAGGTTGAGATGATTGCCTACGGAAATATATATGATTAGGACTAAAGTTTTTCAAAAAAAATTGTCATGGTTAAATGCATGTTTGGCCAAATGAAATTAATATATAGTTTTGTAAATTTTGACTACATTCGTGGATTCACCGAATGCACAGCATATTTTTGGATGGGCCTGGAACATGGAAGACCTGACAAAACAGGCCATAATTAGAGACCCGGTCATAATTAGGGACCCGGCTAAAATTTTTAAATATTGGTGCTTAGACCCGGCTATATTTGGAGACCGGCTATAATTAGAATAGGGCTATAAATACAGGTTTTACGGTATCTAATAAATATAAAAGTTTTGGAATTACAATGAATAACGAGTAATACAAATTGTGTTAGAAATACAGCCGGACTAAGTATGTAGTGTAAAATTTACCTTTTAGCCGTCCAATAAATTCAATCACAACGTTAAGCTTTAGCACTAATGCTTTGTGATAAGCTTCGTCATCGGAGCTAATCGAAGATTTTTCTTCCTCCGAACAGTCATTTTCAGGAATTTTAAGTTTTTCAGGCAACTGGACAACAGTCAGTCCGTCGCCATTTTGACAGGCAAATATTTCGCACAAGTTATTTGAAACGAGGAATTCCTACATGTCTGTGACAACGCTCTCCACGCTAGATCCAAACGTACAGTGTTTCATCATCACGTGCAAAAATGTGTCGCCATTCTCATCTGAAAACTTAAAGTCAACATCATGGTTCACCAAGAGCGTAAGAATAAAGTACGGTCTAAAATCTATTTTAAAAGGGTTTCTGCAGCCAAACGCTGGTCGAGTTGCAAAATGCCACGCATTCCATAAGTTGTTAGTGTTCACGTAATGGATATTTGCGCCGTAATTTATTAACACTTCGATCACTTCCAACATTGGTCTCTGCTTACAGTTTTGAATGGCCAACATCAGTGCCGTACATCCCCCTTTATCGGTACAATTAATGTAGGCTTTCGCATCCTCCATATTGTTCAATAAAAAGTTAAGGATATTTGGACATCCATATTTTGCCGCAGTCATAAAAGCTAATTCTCCAGTCGTATTCTTTTCATATACCAATTTTGGATGTACTGAGACAATTTGAAATGCGAGAGATATAATTTCTTCTCTCTCCTCCCATATTGTACCAATGGCGTGTAAAACTGATTTGCCGTATTTCCCATTGATAAAAGGACTGATATTTTTTTCCACTAAATATTTTGCAACATCCATGTTCCCACTAAGAATGGCTTTAAAGAGTAAATTATTGGACTGATATATGCCACTGCTGCTTGATAAATAATTCACGTCCAAGACCAACTCATCCACCAATTCGGTAAAAACCTCCAGATTCAGTCTTTCTATGCAAAATATTAGTGTCACTTTTATCCCCGTCTTCTAGACATCTTCGGAAATGTGATTTCGATTGGCTTTAATTAATCGTACAAAATCTCGTCCAAGATCTTTAAAATCATGTTCTACAGCAGATTGCAAGCCATTTCTTTTTTATACATTGTTGGTTCGATTTGAAGTATGTTGCTTGCTGAATTACTATCACCAAGTAATTTAATGATGTTCCTTACTTCTGTAAAAAATCCGAAATGCACCATATTTCTAAATGATCCCTTCTCCATGACATAGTTTCTGGGTAGCAAAATAATTTTTTAAACAGATTTTTATAGATAACACCAAATAAATTTGACTAACCTAATCAGTCCCTCATGATTTGCTGCATGTGACCAAACAACCACGTATGTAAGGCCACCCAAAGACTCTGGGTAATCTTGGCAACTGATGAGGTCGTCCAATATCTTTTGTTCTCGGTTTTTATCCACTTGTATTAATCTTATTGTGCTTTGAACAAGACGATGAATTTCTGCATCCATTCCAATCTTCCTGGAATAATTCCCGACATGTCTAATGGTAATCAACGAGAATCTTGATAAGAATTCTATTGCATTTTCCAACACTTGAGCAGCCTCAAGGGGTAGTAACGAATCCTTCGAAATCTTCTCAATATCTCGCCTGATAGTGGTGACATATGTTCTAAGATATAAGCAAGTGGACAATAGGTATCGAAATACGCCCATCTTTCAATTAAATGAATTGCCATGGAAGCATATTCATTACAGGATTTCTTTAAGTTTTTCAAAGCAATTTTGACACAAACGTACAAACTTTTCTTGTATTGCATATTCGGCTGGGGATTCTTGGGACATCTGAGAATCTTATCCTTCAGTTGTGTTATAAAGTCAGTTATGCTGCATTGAGGCCCAGCACAAGCAATACAAAAGGCGTTAGGACATGGTTTTGACGAATTTGCGGGTGAATATCTCTGGCGGGGAGTTAAATTTTGAACTGATTTTTGGTCAGTTGCAAGATAATACTCTCAAAAAGATATATTTAAAATTTTAGGCCGATAGCTTTATAAATACCCCCTCCAGTGCCCCCAGAGTTGGAAGGAGCCAAAAAAACACTTTCCAAACTGAATTTCTCATATAGCATGATAACCTATGAGGTCAGAGGTGAATGATTGTTAATATTACAACCCTAGATAATCATTGCATGTAATAATAAAAGAATCTACATCAATTACATAACGTTGGGCCTCCATCGTCGCTGATACTTTTTCATGAAAATTGATAAATCGGACCGTGCACAGGAAAATTGACCTGCTGACCTTGAAAGCGGACCCACTCGGTCAAATGAAGATTGAGGGCAAAGCTCTAAGTGTCCCAAATAATATTAAATTAAAATGTAACCATGTAATTATTTGATATCAAACAAAACTTGACTTGGAGGAGGAAACGTACACATGAATTTTAGTTTACAAATATATTTTTGCCTGATGAAGAAATTCTGTATGAATATCGAAAGCTTGCAACAATAAATACTTCAAGTTAAAATGTCCTCTGATGCCGATGTAATGGATCAATATATATGTCGAGGATGGAAACATTTAATAAATCAACTAAGACCGCTCTACGGTGGAGCCCTGGTCAAAGATATCCGAAAACTGGAATTCATGTACAAACGTCAAATCCAATTCCACAACAATACAGTATTTTTAAGAAGATGCCAAAAAATGAAAATCATCCCCAGGGGACTTCACAACCAATTCATCACAAAAAAATTTGGCTCAAGGTCTTATTTTACAAAAAGTGAAGAAGAAACAAACCAAAAAATCCTCGAAGGACTCATCAAGTCGAATTTTCAAGACCTATACGAAATAGACAAGAAAATATATTCACTCCGGAACCAAATTAGATGTAAATTACCACAATATTGGCATTTGATTTGTCACCTAATAAATCGAACACGACAAAAAACCAATGATTGTATCAGAAATCGGCAAATCAACAAATTCAATACTTTAATGAACGAGAAATTAAGCCTGATAACAAAGGAAAATCCACAAACCATTAAAAAAGTCATCCATAACTTATTATCTCATCCACTCTCGGAGAATGAACAAAAACTACTCTCATTAGGTCTGAATTACTCCCTCCCAATCAAAGACATACGTGTGACAATGATGGATACAGCTGCAATTATTGACTTGAAACTGCACGAGACCGATTTGGAGGTGAGAGAAAAGGAACAAGTCAGAGCCGGAGTATCACACATCATGAAAAAACAAATTAATAGTGGAAACTATATGAACAAAATTGATACTTGGATATCCTCATCGATCAAGTCCCTTACCACAAATAACAGCATTTGTATTACTAAGGCAGACAAAGGAAACGCAGTGGTAATTTTGGACAAAAATGATTATAACCAAAAAATGCAGACAATGATCAATGAAGGCCCCTATGATGAACTCATTCAAGATCCTACTCCAGATTTCACAGATTTAATTGAAGTCCACTCAAGTTCATTGAAAACAAATGAAAAGTTATCTGATGCAGAATACTCCAAAATAAATCAAAAAACTCCCAGGGCTCCACTTATCTACGGTGCACCTAAAGTGCATAAACCAGACACACCTCTCCGACCGGTGGTAGATTTCAGAAGTTCCCCTACATATAATCTTGCAGCAATGTTGTCCAACATTTTGAAGAAAGTAGCCTCGAAACATGAATATACTGTCAAAAATGGAGAAGAATTCGTGAAAGGAATAAAAAAAAAATATCAAAATACGACCAGGGGATCAAATGATTTCTTTTGATGTTGTCTCACTTTTCACAAAAGTTCCCATAAAAGAGACCCTGAAAATCATCAAAAAAAGACTTCAAGATTATGATAACCTAAATGAACTGACAAAACTCTCAATCAATGATCTAATGGAGCTGATTAAAATTTGCTTAAAATCCACCTATTTTAAATACAATAGCAAATTTTATCACCAAACTCAAGGTACCGCTATGGGATCCCCCATCTCACCAATAGTCGCAGAAATATTTATGCAAGAATTGGAAAAAAAGCTTGTCAAAAACAATCGCAACATTATCTACTGGCGTAGATTTGTGGATGACGTCTTTGCCATAATAAGGATTCGAAGGAAAAGCCACATTTTAAGTCTAATCAATTCGTTCCATGAATCCATTCAATTCACATTTGAGGATGAACAACAGGGACAATTACCTTTCCTGGATCTCATGCTGTACAAGAAGCCGGACAACTCGATTGGTCATCAAATTTACAGGAAGCCTACGCATAAAATAGACATCGGGAAATGAATTTTTTTTACAATTCAAATTTTAAAAAATCAGAAAACTTACAACAGGTTATACTTGGCACATAAAAAACATAAAAAAGGATAAAAAAATCTAAAAGCCCAAAATGGCAGGAAATAAGTGTAGTAAGCCAGTTACTTTGAAACCGTTGAAAATAAAAATTACAAAATTTTGATTAAACTTGAAATGAATGCTCAAAATAATATTTATTTGTTTTTAAAATTAGTTAAACTTTAATCGCAAAAACGGGTTTTTCATGCGTACGGAAATACTCTACAGAGAGAGTTGTCTCGAATACCTCATGACTTTGAGTTTTAGAGAGTAGTTGAAAAAAACTGACTCTTTTAATAAATATGTCCCATATTTCCAACACAATTTAGCTATAAGATAGATTAGGTCCTACATGATTTTCAGCGCTAACCTGTCTGGAGTCATACAGACCACTAAATTCTCCCCTCACTTGCCCCGATGACATCCTCTCATCCTCTTTATGACATAACATTCTGGAAATAATTGCACATTCTTTCCTAAAGGAGGGCTCCATTCTACTTAATATTTCCTCGTACATGTCACGCGAGACTGTGCGAAATGTTTTCGTCACATGTGCGTGAAGCACTTCCAAAAAAACCAATCCCAATGTGAAAACGTCTGATTTTGTGCTGCAACCAGGCTCCGGACTTTGGTACTTGTAACATCCTGCCGTCGATAAGGTGGAACTGTTCGTGAACAATCTAGCCAAACCGAAATCTCCAATCTTCCATAGGTTTCCCGATTCAAATATGTTATCACCTTTTAAATCACGGTGAACAATGTTATTGCGATGGATAACATGAAGTGCTTCGGATACAGGGTTCGGAAAAACCCGGGGTTTTACTCTGAAAACAACTACCCCGGGGTTTTACTGGGTTTTACTGGGTTTTACTGGGTTTTGGGGTTTTACTGGGTTTTACTGGGTTTTACTCAATGTTTGGGGTGAAATAATAAAACTTACAATGTTACGTCAATTTGTTAAATTAATGAATGTTATCAAGATTTATCAAAAAACTTCAATTCATAATGACAGGAACACAAGAAAAATACGAATTTGATCAAACTCCAAGTTAAGCTACAAATTATGATTTTTAGATCAGAAACAAAAATTCGAAATAAATAGAAAAATGTACGGAATATTAATCAGAGTGCTTAATTCGAGGTATATAGGCACCTGCAAACTGATTCTATAGATTTATCTATTTGAATTTCCGATAAAACTTAGTAAAACCCGAGTAAAACCCAGTAAAACCCAAGTAAAACCCCTTTAACATAGTAAAACCCGCTGGGTTTTATTAATTTACTACCCAGTAAAACCCAGTAAAACCCCAAAACCCCAACCCAGTAAAACCCGGGGTCGGAATACCCTGTTCGGATAACTGGCAGAATAAAAATGGAATTTGTAATGTGGCCAATTCGTTCTGGAGAACATATTTTAACGTTGATTTACAAAGTTCCATCTGAATAAATAAAAAATTAGTTTCCACACATGTTGACGACATATCTTCCGGAATTTCGAATGATCCATTTTTTATCTATGTCTTCCGAGTCCGGTCCTTCCACCCAACTGGTGTGATAACGGACGATGTTGGGATGGTTTAATGCCTGCAGGACACGAACTTCTTCAAATAGTAAGGTTAAATTGTAATCAGAATTTGCAAGAACTTTAGTTATGCAAATTTCCTTCAGGGCGTAGTCACACTTGTCGGTCTTGTTCCTCACTTTCCACACTTTTCCAAACGATCCAACACCTAGGGTTGGAGGTATAACTTCAAAGTCGCCGATAATTTTAACAGGCGAGGATACATTTACAGGCGTGTGAGCCATATCGTTGGACGGACTCAGAAAAATAGGGCGAAGAATATTTTGCAACTAATTAAACACGTATGGAGGAGGCCACACCCAAAATATGTTGGATTTATTGCCAGATAAGCAAGACTGATGTGAAAGAAGTCATCGATGGTATTGATGGGTGTCGATGCTTTACACGGGTTTATATAAATTAAATACAACGCATGTAACCAATGAGTGAAAGAAGCGTGTCATATGTCAGAGTAAATATCGTATTGTTTTCGAGAATCTGTTTAAATTGACGCTTTTTCGACATTTGTGTCATGGGTGTCAAATTTAACCTTTGAGATCAAAATTAAGGTCTCCATTTAATACAGGATTAAATTTCAGTTCAAATTGAATAGTTGAAGACCTTCGTGTGACCTTTAGGTCGAGGTCGCCATTGAAATCGGTGTTAAATTTCTTGTAAAACTTATATATATGCAATTTGACCTTGAAATGACATTTCGTGACCTTTTGACCTTGAAGGCTGTGACCTACATTGTCCAACTCGTCCTGTCCCTTGACGTTGTAAGTTTACGTTCAAACCTTCAGGTCCCTGTATCTTTTGTTCAAAAAAAGAATTATCGGGCCAACGGACGGACAGACGGGCAGACCAACATAGCGATCTTATAAAGGGCTTTCACCCATTAATCATGTGACGTGTATATCTGCAACGCCAATCCAATTCACAATTCAATCGTCAACTGTCAAATTGTATTTAATCAAATAGATTACAATTGGTGTAGATTACATTTATTGATCGGTGAAACTTATTATATATTTTAATATTTTAATTGAGGCCACACGTATT